ATATAGTTACTAATTAGGGCTACTACTAACGTAATAAACTATAATATATAGTTAAATATATAGTTAGTAGTACCTAAATTAAGTAAGACTAAATTACTTAGCTTATAGCCTTATAAAGTAGTATAAAAGGCTACCTTTATATAGTATTTACTATATAGTTAATATAACTTAGCCTTAATTTTTTATACTTATTTAGTAAGGTTAGAATTACTTACTATATACTTATTAATCTATTACTAACGTTATGTATTTACCTACTAATTATTAGGCCTTTATAACTTATTTATAAAGTAGTAAAGTTATAGTAGATAGGCGCTAAAGTATATAAGGCACTTTACTTTTTTACCTACACTTTATTAGTAGTAATACCTCTTATTATTAAATTTACTATCCTTTACTACACCTTTAGCGTGCGTTAGGCTATTATTATTATTACCTCTAGTTAGGCTAAATACGCTACAGCCTACTTAGCTATAATATAGTAAGTTATTAGTAAGGGCTTTAACCCTCTCTAGCGCTATCTTATAAAAAGACTACTAGTTAAGATTATTCTAATTACTTATTATTTTACTTATTACTATATATAAATCTAGCTAGAAGCTAAGTAAACTGTTTTATAAAGTAGTAGTAAAGTTATTAAACTAAATTAATAGCTATTAGTAGTTAGGTAAATTAACTTATACTAATTTACTATAGGCTATATTCTATTTATTAAGCTATATAGTAAGATTTTTCTTAGTAGTTAAGGCCTTTTACTAGGCTTTTACTAACACTTTACTATATTTATTATAAGCGTACTTTATATACTCTTTTTTAGTTATTTCTACTACTACGCTAAGCTTATTAAGCTATTTAGCTAGTAATTTATTAGATTTATAATATTTTTCTTAAAGATCTATAGATATAGTAGATTTAACTATATTAGCTACATCTTTAACGTCCTTTTACTAAGTAGTATACTTCTATACTTTCTTATAATAGTAGCTTATCTAGCTATTTAAGTATATAAGATTATATAGGTTAAAATTATCTAGCGTTATTACGTGTTTAGTTTTATATATAAGCCTATTAGGTATAGTTATAATAGCCTTACTTCTTACTATATATAGCTATATAGTTACTTACTAAGATATCTTAGTAATTACTATAGCTATAGTAACCTCTTAGTAAGCAGTAAGCTTATCCTTAGTTAAGGCGTATAGATATTATATTATAAGTAGCTTTATTAGTTTCTTTAGATATATCTTAAGGATTAATTAGTCTGCTACTATAACCTCTAGGTTAATATACTCCTAGAGATTATAACGCTTTACCTTTACTTAGATAGCGTTAAGCTATATAAACTAATTACTATATAATTATAGGATAGTTACCTTATTATTATAGTTCTTATTAATTATTATAATAGTATTTAATTAGTAGATAGGCATATTAGTTATTATAGATATATATATTAGACTATTAATTATTAAATTATAGGGATTATAATAGTTACTTAATTAATTATATAATATGTTATATATATCTAGTTAAGATCTTATAGGAGTAGGGAACTCCCCCTATTTCTTAGTTAGGAAATCCTGGAGAAATCCTGGCTATATGATTGGTGGATTCACCCTGAAAGTGGGGCCCTTTCACTGCCTATTCCCTGACAATTCGCCGTAGGGCAACCGTGCATTTGCCGGTTAATTCACGTGTAATTCCGCCACATTTGACAGTAGTGTTCTGTGTAGTCACCGCACCACAAGAGTCCCTTATACCCTATGCGCTTTCATTATAAAGCTTAGTCTTAGTATAGCATCCCGACGGCGTGATGTCCTTTAATAGATTATCATCACCCCATAACGATCCCACCCCTTTGCCCCCACCTAAAGTGCTATCATACCTAGGCATCTAGGCCGCCACGGAACGGCAGGGGGTGAGTGGTAAGACACTGGACCCCTACGTCCACACAGGCTGTCACCGGTTCTCCTCTCTCGACCTAATCTACTAGCAGGGCATCTTGAAGAAAGTCCTTGTCGTTCAGCTAGGGAAGCGTAGGTGAGCAGGGGTCGCCTCCACATGATCATTACACAGACCAACCGTCATATGTAGGGGCAAGGTATACCGCATGCCATGCTAGCGAGGGTAAGGACAGCACCTGTCAGCGATCACGTCTGCCACCATAGGGGTTATAACAGCCCCAAAATAACCCAACAACCCACCTCAGGCCAACATCAACACCTCGCCGTAAGACAGAAACCAAACCGAGAACAAAAGATCCGGAATAGTCTTTATGCATACATCACACTGTTAGCACGGGGATTGTCTACACCACTGTAGTGTCAAGCGAAGCACAGGAGAGGGTTAATGTAAGATATTGGTACTATTGTGTGGGAGAAGAGGGGGCCAGGCCGTCCGCATCATCCAACGGGAACGACAAGGATAAAGCCCAACCGTACCACATCGTCGTAGCTAACGGATTCAATTGGAGCAGTAGTAACCCGGAAAACCCGGTAGGAAATGACAGATCACAAGCGCCCCGGCGTTGCCTGAGGCTGTAGAGTGTGCCTAAAGATGCCCGGGATTAAATTCGAAGGCCAACCAAAACCACGTCCATCCTGCACCTCACCACCATTCTCCCTCCTAGTTCTTTACACACAACCACCTACGTTTGTTTCACCATCATGCGTCTCTCTGTCCTCTCCACAGCAGCTACCTACGCAGCTCTCTCCCTCCTATAGCGTTCAAGGTCCATTGTACGTATTAGCTACTTATTAACAGAGGAGATATTGCTATAATATTTCCCTATCACTAACGTAAGAATAGTTACATATGATACCAAATATGAGCAGAGCAAGCGGCCACTAAGCGAGGTGGCTTGCTGGAACCCAAATATACCAGGCCTATTCCCCGACTACGACGAGTGGCTTCTCCGGGGAGATATACCTCAGCCTGTTGTTGCTATACCCAGTATTACAGGCTGGGACCATCCTGACTGTATAACCTGCTGGATGGCAACATGGGAGTTAGTAGGGACTACTAGGTTCTATCTTGCTATTGATGGGTCTATAGAGGTCTTTGTTACCTCTCTCCGCAGCATGAACTTGCTTACGGGCGACCAGGCAAGAGATTTCAACAAGCTTGAGCCTCTTGAGGTAGAGGCCACCCAGGTAGGCATGACAAACTGCGGATTTGCACCTACGGACTTTCGCAAGACGTCCGACGAGCTCTGACCTCAGGTCAGAGAGGCTGCTTAGAGTGGCAAACACAGAAAAGTAATTCAATAGCAGTATAGACAATATAAGATTAAACATCTCTGTTGGAATATGGATTTACGTGACTGCTGGCCGGCTGATGGGGTGTGTTGATAGATGCTAACTTCCTGCTTCGTGTTCTGCAGAATTTCTTAGCATTCAAAGCCATTCTAGTGTGTTCCAGACCCAGTGTCCCTACCTCAGAACCCCGAACCCATCCCGAGATAGCAATTATTATGCTTTTCTACCACCATAGAAGCGCCAAGGAAGCTTGTTTGACTCACTGGTCTCTGAGTCTAGAAAATGGCATTTGAATTTTGAAGTTGGGTAAAGCTTGCTCTCTAAACCCCGAGTTTATGTCTCGTAGACACATTCAAACGCTCAATCTGGGCTCACGTCCGTCATCACCGAGAGAAATGAAGAATAGCAACAAGGTGGGGAGTTGTGAGGAGAGAAGGACACACTTCGATAACAAAGTGTAGTGCCACCTCGTATAAGAGTCGGTATTTCCCACGTGCTGGGTCACATGGGTCAACGCCCATTATAGAGAGCAGTAGATAGACCATAACGCTGACGTCGACGAGTCCTAGCCAACACATCACTTTCCACCACATACCCAAGAGGTTCATTAGGCGGAAACTCTGTCATCATTTGCTGTGGAATGGGGATCTAAATGACTGTTCTGGCCAAGGGCGATTGATCGCCCACCGGGTGAATGCGGCGTTGTACCAATAACCCGGATGAGTAAGGATAAGACTAACTATGGAGATATGATCGTTGTTAACAGAAACCAGCATGCGCATCCCTATATGGCGGGCGGGCTGAGTGAGGTCCTGCCATGGAAGGCTAACTTAATCCGTCTTCCGATCTGTCAAGGTACCACTCATCCGGCTACCCTTCCGCGCCCCATTTCTGAGGCGATGCTGGAATTTGCCCAAGACATAATGACATTCCCCGAAACCAAAATGCCGTGACCGGAAACGACTTAACGAGTGCGCCTCGAATGTTTTTGCCTCCTCTGTCCATCGAGATAATGTGCATAGAAAGCCTCTGGCTGGAACGCGTGCCAGGTGTCCGGGTGTCGGCGGAAAACCTCATAACCATGGATGCCTTTCCTCCTTGTACTACCACATCTCCGAGCCCCCAAAGTCTATCAATCACTTTTGAGACACGGGATACCCTGTCACACACGCCAGAATTAATCGCGCAATCAATTCTGCGCGGGCCGCAGAGCTTCGGTCCCAGCCGGTGCCCACATACCAAAAACCATTTGGTCCAGACGGACCGTCGTCATGCGTTTGAATTGCCCGCCCCTCCTCCTCTTGACGCTCTGCACAACGGCAGCAACGACGCTCGCCCAAAGGCTCTGGCTCCCTGATACACCCGGTATTGATTTAAAAGACAATCCCGATTGTGCTGTGAGAAGACCGGCCCCCCTCAGCGACTGACGAGTGACATACGAGCTCACCACTGACGTGCGACCAAGCTGCCTTGCCTGTTGGCAGGCCTCAATCAAACGAACTGCCCCACGGCCGACCAGACATGCTTGTGCCAGAATGGAGAGTTTCTCGACAGCGTGGAGCGTTGTGTCATCCGGAGCTGTCCGCTAAAGTACGCACTAGGTAGGGACGTTCATACCTCACTTTGAGGTAAGGATGCTTGGCTGATGGCTTATCCCTAGAATCGCAGAACATTACTTGGACGGCGTGTCAATTTCCCCTCCACAATGGGGTGGGAGCCTCGCGAAAAGCTGCGCGCATCGTGATGTTCTTTCTGCTACCCACACTCTCGATCATCCTTCGGGTCATAACCAAGTACGTGCGGCTGGGTTCATGGGGTCCTGATGATTATACTATTCTTGGAGCATATGTAAGTGGGAACCGTCACGTATGGGAGGAAAGATAATGCTAAACACATAACCTAGGTTCCTCTTGTGGGGTACACATGTGTACATATCTATCGTAAGTCCCTGGGCGCTGGGTCCAAGTTAAAGGTCTGACATTCACATCAAGTTGACAATCACGGTGCTGGGAAAGACCTCTGGACACTCAACCATGGACAGATCTATAACTATTTCAAAGTAACTATTGTGTTCCAACATCCAGCGGCTTTTACCTTTCTCCTGCCAGTCTTTTAACTCGTCATATATTTAACGCTTTTCTTAATAGTGTCTCTACGCCCTACAGCCCCTTTATCACTGCTGCATCGATTTGATCAAGGCCTCTATCCTCTTCTCGTACCTTCGAATATTCCACCTTCCGGACGAGAAGATTCGCATTGCACTCTGGGTTACCATGGCATTCAATCTCTCGAGCGGGATCACATTCATATTCGTCGCCCTGTTCCAGTGCCGGCCTATAAGCTTGGCTTGGACACTATGGACAGGCGAGACGACAGGGAAGTGTATCAACCTTGTCTACATTTCGATATCGCACGCAGCTATAAACATTGCGTTGGACCTATGGATGCTCATCCTGCCAGCCACTCAAATATGGGGCATGAACCTGGCGCTTCGCAAAAAGATTGCAGTCATGTCCATGTTTAGCCTTGGTCTATTGTGAGTGCTTACCAACATGATCAATTTGTCTTTGCGACCAAACGAGCAGAGCTGACATGCCATCACCAGCCTCACTATCGTGAGCGCCATTCGCATTTCCGCCCTTTTGGAATTCCGCAAGGAACCTTTGAACCCGACTGGTATGTTCAAATATGCCCGGACATACAAGTGGCTATTGATTTGAAAACTGACTAATCACCACGTCTAGTTGGCATGCTGCCCTCCGTCGTTTGGACAGGCATAGAGCTCTATGTAGGGGTCTTCACAGCCTGCATACCCAACCTCCGACAGTTCTTCGTCAGGTTCATCCTTGGGCATTCGGAGAAGAAGAAACGTCTTGCATCAGTCATGTCAGGCTACGCGCGTGGTTCGACATCCGCTCCTAAACCACAGGGGCTCACACATCAGTTTGATGAACTTGAGGCGATAGACGAAAGCAACCTCAGCTCGCCCTGCCAACAAAGCATGGCCAATGTATGAAATATGAAAAATAGATCATTAAATTAATCTCAGGTAGCCGTGGTTTTTGCGACTATTCACAATAAGCACCCAAGGCTGTCTTGCTCTTTGGACCCAGCACCTCGCTTGGAATTCCAGTGTTGACGTCAAGAACTTGCATAGAGTACTCTAAAAAACATCTCTTGCACGCAGCCACTGACTGTTAAGAGGATCCCATTTGAAGTGTGTGCCGCTCATGTTCCCGTCACGACTGAAACGTAACTCTCGGCGCAGCAAGAGTGACTCTTTTTCGTCCTTGTCCTCAGATAATAAGATGTTGTCCGTCTCAATTCCCTCGTACCTCTTCGCGAGAGCATGGAATGTCCTACTATCCCATACACCATCGCGACGGTTAAACTTGCCTAGTAGTTCCGTCGCCTCTTGCCTGACTTTAGTATCTCGACACCGACACGAAGTAACCAACAGAGCCCACGTAGGCCCGTTGTCCATACTGAAAGTATCGCTGCACCCACCACAATTCGCCTGGGCCTTCAGAACAGTCCGACTCAGTTGCACGATCTCCCGGAAAGACGGTGTCAGGATGATCACCGTTCTGATGTCTGTGAAACTCAGGCTGGAGACATGGTTCCAGAGCAAGAGGTACTGCAGGCGCAAGTTGCAAGCATTGACATATGACTGGTAGTCGGCTTCGCTGAGATGCTGCTTTAACCGTAGATTGTTGTATAGAGCCTGGAAGGCGTTGCTCCATTTTCGGAGGCGGTTCAAGAATTCCGGAGAAACGGCCGCCATTGTCTCAAGGTGGGTCGGCAGCAATGCAGGCCGTTCGTAGGCGCCTGCAAGCATATCATCAGAAAGACTGTCGACGTAGACCTCCGTGTAAATAGGACATCTGTGACACGTATGGTGCTGTACGACCCTCCACCATCGCCGGGCTGTATGTATGTCTGTAAATATGGGAGGCATCTCATCAACAGCGAAGGCACCTTTGCTGCCACGACAGCACCAGCTGATTTCCAAAAGATTGTCTGGATGCAGCACACTGTGAGACCACGCCTGCATTTTCAAGCCCTGGAACACCCATGCAGCATCGTCACACACGGCGCGGATGGACTCTGTCACTGGGCCTTCCTCAACCAGCGACCGTCGACGGAAGTATGCTTCCATCATCTTGTAGGCATGATTCACATGCGATAACGCCGCAATGCGATCTCCATGGAGGCATTCGAATGTGATGAACAGCACGCAGCATATGATGGCCCAAAGCATGTTTTCACTCGTAGGCTGAGAGCTGCGCAAAAGCTTCATAGCGCGGCCATAATGTTGCAACGCGAACTCGTAATGCGGGCCGTTACTGTGAAGCTCCTTATCAGACCGATACACGAGTGACGGAACGAGGGCTCGGGCCATTCCCGCCATTGCAAGAGCGGCATGTTTGATGGCTGGCTCCTGGCGTGCGAGTTGCGGGACGACGCGATGCATGATATCGTTGGGGAAGAGGTAGATGCTGCCGATGAGTTGCAGCCAAAACTCGAAGTACCCCCTCTCCGGACCGATGAATAGCGACGTTTCGTAACCGGGTTCCATGAGGGCAGCGAGTGGCCGCTTCGTTCCCTTGGCGGCAATCGGGACGCAGTGATTCGAACGTTTCTGCTCGGATGGGTATCCTTCGCACACTCCCGGCCCTCGTGGCGACTTTGTGCACTTTAAACAGAAAGGCCGTGTCTCGTCACACTTGACATGGCGTCGTCTACGACGTGTTAGGATTTCCGTTTGATAATAGATAGGCAAAGGCCAGGCACATACTTGCATGTGATACAGCCTGACTTGACCTTGGCCGCGAATGTTCTCTTGCCGCGCGATCGATCCCCTAGGGAGAAAGTTGCCATTTGAGAAGACATCTTTGGTATCCTAAGAGCCCGGTTATTGGTGGAGAACATGATACAGGGGTTGATGCGGTAATACGCACCTGTTGTTCCCGCGACTCACGGTCCGCACCAGAGCAAGGCCAACGGCGGCCGAGTCGGCACCGGACGATCGTGAGTCGCAAGCTGACGCGGAAGACTGAGAAGCCATCTCCAAGGCATCTGGCCCAAGAAACCATGGAAGTGCGAACAGGATATGCAGGAGAACAACCATTTTAGCTGCTTAACAAATGCTGACGCCTAGTAATATATATCCCCGTGAGTGGAGCATGTAGCTTTCAGTCAGCCAGCGACGTAAGGCAGAATCCTTCGTAGAACAGCCAACCGTAACTCAGATATTATCTGCCGATCCTCCGAGGGACAGGGGTTTGAGCATTCGGTGCTTGAATAGGGCTAGGCTATGTTATCAATGTCTGACAATTTAACACAGCCACGAAGCAACCGAAAGCTATTTGATACTATATACTTTTATTATTGGTACTGTGCACTCGATAGGATTGGTTTGGTCAGTCCAATGAAGATTCGTCAAGATATCTGAACCTAGGAAATGTAATCATCGCAACAAACTGCCCACTACGTGCCACCTCCCCTTTTTGTCATGAGTTAGAGCACATAGCAGGATATATAAGAATAGGATCAAGAAGGCCTTATTCATATGAAAGCAGAGATGTAAAGGAAAAGCGCTGTATATAGGCAAGTAAATGAGAGTAAGGAGTGAAACGCCACGTGATATAGCACATGATAATCCACTGACAGGTGCTGTGGGAAGCTATCGTTACACTTTTCATCATTTGAATCAAAACACTGTCTCTAAACCCATGGCATTAAACGATGACAAGCTTCTATAAACTCAAAGCTCTAGATCCCGACTCTGTGTGGAGGCTGGTCTAGTTCTTAGATTATTTCACACAAGTCACTAGCAGCTGCTACTGGGGGGTGGCCATCGTGCCCATCCCCATCTTGCGCACCTCGTCCTTGTGCGGTCGGTGTTGTTGCCAGACGAAGATGCACTAATACGAGACAGATTTCCACCAGGTGGTACTGACAGGTCGTGCCTATTTTCGCCCTCCTCTATCGCCGAGTATCTCTTCCTATCTTCAAAATTCAGTCATTTCTATCAGAACCACGATGGCTTCTAGGTCTCATGTAAGATTATGGTGTGTAAATAGTCCGGCGGGGGGGGGGGGGGGGGGGGGGGGGGGGGGATGATTTTACACGCTGGAGAAAGCTAATAATATCCGAACCCGGATCGCGACGATTAATTATGCGTGCTGGATAGTTCCCCGGGGGGGGGGGGGGGGGGGGGGGGGGGGGTTGGAGAAGAAATCAAGTCCGAGAGCTCCTCGTATGAACTGATCAGCATAATTCACAATATTCATGTGCTGATATTTAGTAGCAGGTCTCGGAATCAGGCATTCAGCAAAGAGAGAGTTGGCGTCAGCAAAGCCCTAGGCATGCGCACTTGAAGTAGAATGAGTTGAGAGTTATTCCGACACCGTTTCTAATATGGAGTCCTATCATAAACGCCATCTGAGCTTTCAGGTGAATTAAACTCATGTCACATGGTTCGACATCGTTGCTTGTAAATATAATGGGTGCGACAGGTTAATACAGGTGGCGGTCGGAGAGATACCAGAACCGGGTATAACAAGGCTAAAGAGTGAGAAATACCTCAGCATGGTATTTCCTCAAAGTCCCAGACTTGGGCTCAAAGTTGACCACGAACACCAGAGCAACTGTTGAAAAGTTGTGCGGTCTTGCAGGAAGGAGGGCCCTATGAGTACACATGGCAAGAATTCGAAGCCCTAAACCAAGAGGTTCGGCATTTCGGATTTATCTCAGTTAAAGTCTAAGCTTCATAGTCTGGACCCGAGCAGTTCTCCGGGGTTTGCGTGAAGACATATGGACGAACTTGTGGGAGAGGGGGTTATGTGATGTTCTGGAGTATGCGTGCCAAGGCCAATCATCAACCGCACAGACAAATACCGTTTGGCACAATTCACTCCTTTACGGATTGAATGTGATTTCGGTCATTTCGTACGGAAGTGAATTTGGCTTGGGGGTTAGTAGTCTACGTCACACCTCCTGACCTCCCCCTTGCCAGATAGATGGGAAAAGTTGGACAGGGTAACCCAATCGACTAATTGGCCGCTTTTTAGGTGAATTGAAGGATACTTTAGCAAGGCTCAGAGCATTCATACTGGGTTTAAATGACTAATATGGGACAGGCGGTGAGGGTTTGGTTTTGAGAGGGAACTGTTTAGAAAGATCTCACAGAGCTGCATGACAATTGGTTCCAACTAAAAGCGGAACATCAGCCTTGATTTCGGCTCTAATAAGTACTGTGCCTTATCAAAAAACTGTTCCCAAGAGTATCACAAACCGCCTGAGCGGTGAGCACTACAAGTGCTGTTTTCTTCACGCGCATCCTACAAACACATCACACATATTATAAGTATCTCATGGCCCGGTTCTTTGGAATCGGAGGTTGGCAGTGATAATTGGTCAATGTTCCCGAAGGAAACGTCTCTAACATATTAGCCCCGGTGAGGCTCTGGACTGGGTTCTTTAAATTTCGTTGTGAATCGGACTTTCAATTCAGATCGGCAAATTCGCATGTACCAGGCCGTAGAACTGCGTAGTTACACTGCAGATTCGGGATATCATGGTGAGAAAAAGCTATCGTCATGAGGCTTTCGGCAAGTCTCCAGATCCGGCATTGGATTTACCCAAAGGAGCCAAGGGGGCAATTAGCTCCTTATCCAGCGTCTCAGTCATCAACACTCCCCTGTCTTAGTGTGAGATTCGACATACCGGCCGAAAGCCGAACGACATTTCAAAGACGTCATTCGAATAAAGCCCCCTCAATTGGCGACGAGTACTGGGCTCTGAAGGCCTGGCTGCAGGTCTGGCTGCAGGCTGGACGCTTGCCCTCCTAGCCTGCGCGGGGAAATTTGCGAAATCTAGACGTCATGACGAATTGTCACGGCTATATAAACAGATGAGTCTATCTTTCGCGTTCCGACAACCAAGATGTGGCCCATTGAAAAGAAAGAAACACAAAATCCCGATTACCAAGACTAATACCAATCAACATGAGCTATCCTGAGAAGTTTCAAGGGTTCTGTGTGGCAGGCCCGAAAAGCTGGAATCAATTCAAGAAAGAGACTCTTACGCCCAAGCCGTTTGGAGACCGGGACATTGATGTACAGATTGAATGCTGCGGTGTTTGCGGATCCGATGTGCACACTGTCACCGGAGGTTGGGGTGAGTACGAGGGACCTCTATGTGTCGGTCACGAGGTATGTCCTGCGTTTCTCCATATCTGAATCTTTAGGTGTAAGAGTTAACAATTATCAAGGTTGTCGGTAAGGCAGTCGCTGTGGGAGAGAGTGTAAAGGAGATCAAGGTTGGCGACCGAGTGGGTGTGGGAGCCCAGGTATGGGCGTGCTTGAAATGCGACCAGTGTAAGAATGAGAATGAGAACTACTGCCCTCATTTGGTCGGTACGTATAAGCCTTTCTTATGAATTCTTGAGTCACTTCTAATGGCTACGCGCTGACTTAACTATCAGACACGTATAATGCTACATATGAGGACGGTAGCCAAGCACACGGTGGCTTCGCCAGCCATATCCGCGCTCACGAGTACTTCACATTCAAGATCCCTGATGCCCTAAAGTCGGAAGATGCTGCGCCTCTTATGTGCGCTGGCCTGACGACGTATTCGCCATTGGTTCGTGGCGGCGTCGGCCCCGGCAAGACCGTTGCGATTGTCGGTATCGGCGGCCTCGGCCACCTCGGCATCCAGTGGGCCAAGGCTCTCGGCGCGGAGGTGTACGCCATCACTCACTCTCCCTACAAGGTTGAAGACTGCAAGAAGCTTGGGGCCAAGGAAGTTATCAATAGCAACGACAAGGACTGGGCAAAGCCATATGCCTTCAAGTTCGACTTCATGCTAAACTGCTCCGATATGACGAACGAGTTCGACCTCTCGACCTACTTGTCCACACTCAAGGTCGGCGGACACTTCCACATGGTCGGTCTACCTGACAAGCCTCTGCCTCAGTTTCCTGCAGCCCTGTTCACCACCAACTCGGCGAAAATGTCCGGTAGCCACATTGGAAACAATCAGGAGATGAATGCTTTGTTGAAACTGGCTGCGGAAAAGGGAATCGCACCGTGGGTCGAGACAATCGACATATCTGAGCAGGGATGTAAAGAAGCCGTTGAGCGGGTCAAAGAGAACAAGGTCCACTACCGGTTCACCTTAGTCGGACATCAGAAGGCTTTTGGAACGGCCTAGAGGGTGGGGATAAATAGATACTGGTTATCTTGAATGATCAGCATGTTCTCACGCAGAGAATCATGGAATCCTGCGCTTTGCCCGTGTTTGGCGTTTCTCTCATCAGATGTGTCTTATCAAATCCATCATCCACTGTTAATGCTGACTCTGCCAAGCGGCTAGTGCTGACTTGACCAAGATGGGGTGACAACCCTCGGAAGGATGCCAGCAAACCAGTCATATATTGCTCTGACCTGTCCTTACGAAGCCGCAAAGGATTATATCTGCCAAATAGTGGCTTTCCGCACATTCCGGTCTTTTGATGACGCATCATTATTAAAACGTGGCAACTATTTGTTCGAGTGGGATGTATCAGACAGGATTGTATGCCATTCCCACAATACGACAACTCAAATCCCACCACTGACCGATTACATTAAAGGTTAGCTTCATAATGGCTTTTAACCCCTCATCTCGCGGTTGCGGAACCCGATCCGCGGTCAAATATATAAGTTATATTTATGGCACGTTTCCACTGATCACATGAGAACTGCATTCTGCAGAATCTGAGTCCGTTTACCCTTAGCCAACACGTCTACTAAAGATCATACCAAGAGAGTTCTGACAAAATGGTGTTCGAGATCCACGTCATCATCAAGCGGGATATTTCCATGCATGAGACCCTCACAGTCGACATACCAATGCCCCGACTCGCGGCCTCTTCCATCCGTATACGCACATCACTAATCGGTATCACATCCAATAACTTCACATATGCAACGCTGGGCGACATGCTACAGTGGTGGAACACATGGCCTGTCCCAATAGACGGGCCGGCTCCCTACAACAACAGGGATGAGTGGGGTATCGTCCCGGCTTGGGGCTTCGCGAGGGTGCTTGAATCAACTGTTGATGCCATCCAGACTGGCGGCCTGCTGTACGGATTCTGGCCCACCTCATCGCATCCCTTCGACATGAGACTCGAGCCAGCCGAGCCCAAAGGTCATTTTCGTGAGATCAGCGAGCATAGGCAGGGGCTGGGAAGTATTTACAACCACTACAACCTCGTCGACGAGTCAGCGCAGTCGGAAGAGTTCAGGGCGTGGTTCGCCAACGTATACCCCCCTTGGAACGGCGGTTACGTGTTGAACCGTTTCACCTACCCGACGGATTTCAAGCCAGTCCATCCATTGGGTCAGGGGGCTGGAGAATGGACTGATCAGGATGCAGATTTGAGCTCCGCTATGGTCGTCAGTCTATCCGCAGCGAGCAGAACGGCGAGGTCCTTCACATGGAACTTGGCTCGCAACCGCAAGCCGGGAAACGGGCCGCTGGCTCTCCTCCAGGCCACCTCTGTGCCCCAATCTTTGACGCCTGCGTTCGAGTCGGAGTTCGAAATCAAGGCGGTCAACTACGACAGTCTCGTTTCACAGGAGGTCACGGGTTGGATCGCTGGATTCCAACCGAAGCGCGTTGTCGTCGCGGACTTTGGAGGCCCCCCTGAAGTGACTGAGAAGTTGCTAGAGACTATCAAATCAGCGCTCTCGGAGTCCACAGTCATCAGCAACCTTCTGGTTGGAGCTCAGCCTAAAGTTGTGCCACAGAACGAGATGATAGCAAGGATGGGATCGCAGAAGAAATGGGGTACCGTCCAGCTCAACACGACGGGTGCTGTCGACGCCGGAATAGCTGCCGAGGGCGCCGAGCATTATCATCAGGAAAACGTCTCCGCATTTAAGCGATCTCTGAAAGAGAACATTGCCGGAGATCTCGAGCTGGCATGGGGAAGCGGGGTTGGGGGCGCAAATGGGGTCGAGAAGGCGTGGGAGGATCTTGCCAAGGGGACCTTGTCCTTTAACAAGGCATGGGTATATCGATTGGAGTAAAACGCCTTATGATGGTAGCTGGGAGTTCTCGTTGCTATATGCACCCTATCTTGTTATGGCATTCTTGATGATGATGAACGAGAAGAAATAGCCAGTAACACTGCCTCAGCGCGCAAGGAAACATTGTATATGGTTGCATCTTCATGAAGCAGAATGCTTACATACTTATGATTGTTCGGTTGATTCGGATAGCGAACAGGTAGACAAGATTATACAGCCGCCGGTCTTGGAAACATAGGTCAAGTCAACACCTGAGTGTATATGCCCTAGGACTATGCTTTTGAGCAGACATAGCTCTCAAAGCTCTTTAGCTAGAAATAGGGGATTGTTTATGAAAATATGGTTTGACCAGTTCCCTGGGGAGGATTGAGCTAGACTGAATGTACCGATCAACTATGAATGCTTGCCAGCCACAAACGTCTGGTTGAGAATTTGAGAAGACTACAAACATTATGAGTGTTTAGTCGTTTAATTCTACATAGTCCTAGTAAGAGCAGCAGTTCGCCAGTAACTACATGTACTATTGGGACTTCTCAGTTGGTAAAGCTTCACTCAGAATGTCAGCGCATCCTTCTTGATTGGTTCAAGATGCCCCCTTCCTTTGAAATTCTCAACGATGTCCGCCTGCTCGGACAACATAAACCTTTCATTTTGTTTCCCGAACCTCGCCAGAACCCTCCACCGCGCCAAATCCCCCGGGTTGCGCTTGTCACCGTGCGCCGCCCCGGGGTTTTCCCAGTGCCCCCTCGAGAACGAGATGAGCGTCGAAATTTTCTGCCTCGGGATGTCGTACACCAGAGAACAAACGGTGCCCGTCTCCTCTAGCCAGTTGACCTGCCACAACTCCCCAGGTCGGATGCACTGATAAGTCGCTGTCTGGTAGTTTACGCGGCCAGACATCGGTCCGCCATGGATTGCGTAGACGATGCGGTCCTCGGAGAAGAACCACATCTCGTAACGCCACTTCTCCGGCCTACCATCGGCGTCTTGGGCATCATAGTCATAGATGAGATGCGTATCACGAATGTCTTTGTCGAAGGTGGAGTCCAGAGGCGTATTGGTTTGGAAGCGGGGAAGAGGGTTTGCGGGAGGGCTGTTTGAGAGGAACATGACTCACTCGCCTTTGCGACAGAGCGTGCAGCAATGAAATGGTAGTTCGTGTAGAAGTACGGTCTCCGAGCGCGGAGAGCTAGTAAAGGCCGTTCTAGATCTTGGGTCAACAATGTATCTCTAAGCCAATGTAGTAGTGGTGTTGCGGGAAGATTTTATCTGCGGATGTCCGTGGAGAATAAGTCGTCATGGCATCGCGGGCAAGGTGTCGTAGCGGGTCTGTGTGGCGACCTGTTCGGCAGTCTAGATAGATACTGCTATTGCATCATAGCTTAGAGTTTTCGGGTTCGTCGGGCTAGTTCATTTAACTCTCTTGGAAAGACTTAAATCCTCTCAGGACAATGCCTTACATCCGTCCATTAGGTTGTGGTGTGATGGAAAGGAATATCCACGACAGCCTGCAAACTTATACAATTGACATGTCAATGCGTCAATGGCCAGAGTGATGTTAGCCGGAAAGTGGGAGTTGTCTTTGATTTGTGAACGAAATGAGTTCTGTAAATCTAACACTCTCTGCGATGACTTATTACTGCTATGTTGCGAAGAACCTGAAATGATTGTGCTGAGTGAACTATGGGAGACATTATCGAGCTAGCCAATGTTGAATACTGTGGTAATAGGCGTCTCCATTGATCAAGGCATCATGGTGGACCCCGGTATCTGTCTCAGTCATGACATCATCACAGACTATTCATACAAGCCAAGTCATTGAGGGATATAGTCCCAGCCTGGTTTTCAACATATTCTCTATATAATTCAACCGTCGAAAATGGCGGATCAAGTAGGGTTCTAACCGTCTGAGACAGTTGAAAAGTCTGCAAACTCGGCTGGAATTGCTTCGTTTTGTACCAGCTTTAGGTCCTGCCGCCCTGCTACACATATCATGTTCGCGTCTCAAATAAATATCAAAATGAAGCCTTTTTGATGATATTTACTATGCTACCACCTTTCATGGCATGTAGCACAGAGCTTTATAGTAAATGCTTTTGCACAGGATAATCATATATTACTTGCAATCACAACTCGACATGACACCGCGAGGTATTGAACTGGCTATACATACTCTCTAGAAGCTATCTTACAATGAGCGTGTTCTACAATGTTCAATTCACAGACAAATCCACAGAGCAATACATGTATCTCTAACTAACGTAAAGCTTCGGCTTAGTTCCGAGTTTTCAAAGACCTCATCCCATTGTGTCCAGACTTCGCCATCCCTGGCCAATCCACTTCTGATTATGATGGCGTTGATCATCAGACGGAACGGCAGGGCCTCATATCACGAAGGGGATCTTGTTGGATTTGCGACTGAAACACGCTGGTAGGAGGCCAGGCTCCCAACGCGGGGTGATGGCAGACATGTCCTATGGTAAGCCATCAAGTGAGCGTCTCTATTCACTAGAATTCAAATGTCACGTTCTTTGGAGTACCGCGTACATATCCTATGCTCCCTTTCCAAACAGGGTGACCAGGCTGTCATATGGTGATCAAGGCCCGGGCCTGGTATTCATCCTATATCGATGGTCTCAAGAACCCAACAAGGGAATAAATAGGACGCCGATCACCTTCGACCTATATCTACATATGGACTAATCCTTCAACACGCCACGCAGATTGGTTAACCTTGACCGGCGCAATGTGCACTTCTCCAAGATTCTTAGTAGCATATTATTTCGCTACTACGTCGTGTTGCGTGTGAGGGAGCAGTCCTCTTGAAGTGTGCTACAATTGCTGCTCATGGACTAGCAAGGTTACCAAGCTATTATTCATAGTACACGTTTAGTTGCGGCGTTATGTGCCTTTACGCTAACGGGCGTATTGTATGTCAGAATCCTACGATCAGCGCTTAGGTGTTGTCCTTAGTGAGATGCGTTGGATGCTCAAGGCCTGCAACGCATTGCAGTGGACGTGTCTACCGACAAGCGGGACTGATGAAACGACATGCAAAGATCTCATTAGAACTAGATGGCACAGACTGTTGATCACCGGTTTACCGGTTCTGGAAGCCCCATGTCCTAGTTGAAACAGACTTGAAGCTTGATCACAATCGAGCCGCCTTTATGAGACGAAATGACAGGACGAACGGCATACACATGCAGATCCCACGGGGAACCAGAAACGGAATTGGAGAAGCTTAGTTTTAAGGGTGAGTTTTATGTCGCATTAAGAAGCAGACAATAGGTATATGTGTGGATAGGTCAGAGGGACCAGTAGTTATGTAACTATTGATTCTTGGAGGAAGAGGCTCTCTAGACCAATCCTGTTGTTCGTAACGCTTTCCCCCCATATCCCCAAGAATCTGCACAATGTCCAAAAACGAAAAAATGCCTGGTGATGCGCCAGGGGCGGCAGCTGAAAAGAGGCCACACCACCAGGTGAATATGTGCCCGAAAAGAAAAGAGGTATCTCATGCGCCGTCAAGAAGCTGTTAAAATTCAAACATTGCCGGGCTTCGTCATCGTGGCGGATTGGTGGGGGATGAGATACCGCCTTTCCCCGACGAAAAACTCACCCAGCATGGAAAAAAAGACCAGAGACTACGTCACCACAAGTCGAGAGCGCAAAACGCCACTCGCTTAGGCGGTGAAGTTGTCGCCGAGGGTGACGTCCAGGTGGCCGGTGTAGTAGCCCTTGCAGCCGACACCGTCAGCAGCCTCCATGCCGGGCATGTAGGCGTCCTGGTTGGAGCCGTCGGACTTGACCCACGAGCAGGTCTTGCCGTTGGCGGCGACCTTCATGCCGTAGTAGGGGAGGGACTGGGAGCCGGCGACGAGGACGGAGGCGTCGGCACCGGAGTTGCCACCGTTGGCGACGGAGCCCCAGTCGAACTCGAGCCAGGTGCCGGCGAACTGGCCGATGAAGGTCTTGGGGACCTCGGAGCCAGCGCCGCAGGCGCAGGAGCCCTGGGAGTCGGTGTCGAAGGCGACGTTCTTGTGCTGGCCATCCTTGACGGAGAAGGTGATGGCAGCGAACCAGCAGCCGTCGATCAGGCCCTTGGGACCGATCTTGTTGAAGCACGAGCAAGTGTAGTCCTTGTCGCTGGCGGTGAAGGTGGAGGTGTAGTTGTAGAGCGACAGGATGGAGTCGTCGACGACCTGCATGTTGCAGCCCCAGTCGTCCTCAGTGCCAGTGTTGCCAACGGAGGCGATCTGGGCGAGGGTGGCGCGCTTGGTGGTCTTCTGGCCGTTGCAGAAGGGGACGTACTCGCCGACGGGCTTGCTGGCGGCAGAGGCCGAGGGAGACGGAGCCGGGGTCGCGGCCACGGGCGAAGGCGCGGGAACTGACGGGGCGACGTTCTTGTAGAAAGTATCGCGCTGCTCAACACCGTCAACGGTGCGGCGCTCGTGGAAGTGCTGGTGGCCGTGCAGGGACGGGTGGGCAGACACGCCGGTGAGGGCGGCCGAAAGGACGACGAGGGTGCTGGTGAGCTGCATCTTGGATAACTGTGATAGTGTAGTATGCAGGTTTCAGACGGCTTTGTTCGTGAAGAGAATCGTTTATCTCGTTGACGCTAAGAATGCAGAATTGTGTATGTTTCTTTGCTTTTTTGACCCGTCCGGAAAGAGTGACAGCGGGCTATCAAGATAACTCGCGGAGTTTGGACGATTGGTTTGAAAGAGAGAGTGGTGGTGTCAGAAACGCAGAAACCAGGACCAAGGGAGAAGACGGAGGGGGGGAATGAGGGTCATTATGAAGGGGGAAGCAAATAATCTCGCTCGATACGCCCTCATGTGTGATGTGTTAGAGAGAGACATGAATCGTGGAGGGGGAATGTGCGTATCAGCAGGGGCGTCGTCGCTGGGGACCGGTGTCTTGCTCTATCGCACACCATCAATCAACAGACAACCCGCCGTCAACAACCCTGTCTAGCCAGGAACAGATGCCAGAACGGGTAATTGGCTCAGCAAGATGACCGAGAGGGTGTAGGCGATGTGGATGGGGGCCCCGTTGTTGATTCCAGGGCCAGACAGACAGGGCCAGGCGCAATCTCAGTTTCCCACTGTCAGTAGGAGGGAGACAACACACACACACACACACACACACCCCTCTCGGCCATCTCTCCCGGAGCCAGCCAAGAGGCACAGAGTCTGCCAGGAACCACTAGGGCGACGAGGGGGGACTCGGGGGTGGTGGAGGGAATATGGGTCATGGATGGAACATGGTGCGCCAGGGCTGGATTGAACGGTGATGCAGGAAAAGGGGGGTGGGGAACGTAATTTCACCGCTTACACCAATTCCCAAAGGGCCATGGCCAGCCACAGCTTGGTCCCCCGGATCGAGTCCTAGCAAATACCCGGCTGCTTTCTCCTCCGCCCAGCAACATGCTATTTCTCTAAGCCAACCAGAAACCAAGCATCGATTACCGGGTTGCATGGCGACCTGCCATCGGCGACTGGCAGATGGAGGGTATGTAGTGGAAAACACGACACTGCTTGGTATGAAGAAGGATGTACTATTGGATGTGGCCAGAAACAAAAAGGAACACACATGGGACCTGCAGCCCTCCATCACCTCGTGTCCATACAACACACACTCACACATACACACGCACACGCACACTAAATCCAGGCAAGAAAATCGCCGCCGCCAGGTACACCCGCTCTTGGGGGGGGGGGCGTGTGTGTGCTTGGAGCTGGCAAGTTTAGCTCCAGCGCCGGGCCTGGAACCTGGAACTGCTACCCGAATCTTGGCCTTGGATGGGGAAGGGAACCACGAACTCTAACTTTGCACAACGAGCATACATGCTATGACGGGAAGATCGACGTCGCCCTTCCGCAGTGGGCGCGGACCGGCTTGCAGAAACGATCAATTTGCCTGGCCGTTCCAGGTTTCTCGAACGCACTGCTGGATGGATGCTTGAGCAGATGCATGCACTAAACACTTCCCCAAGTCTCTTGAGATTTTGTCCAAGCTTCAAGCAGGCAGAGTCTTTTTCTTTCTTTCTTTTTTTTTTCGTTTCTTTTGCCCTCGGTGGAGATCCGGTGGAGGCGTCTGGATGCATAAACTGAAATATCTCACCTAAATGTCTCGGGGAGAAGGCAAGTCGAGGCCGTCGGGTATCGTTACTGTCCGCTTTCCATGACGTTACCGCTGCAGTGACGTTCCCTCTCATCCGACTCGTTCGTTCGTTATTTGGTCATCATGCAGCCAGCATGCACCTTTCGGCAAACCTGAAAACCCCTCAAGCTCGAGGTTTTCGAACCCTTCGGAAGCATCGCTGCATCAGCACATGCAACATCATCCAACAGGAGGGATGTCCGGCAGAGTACAAATAGTGTATACATGGAAATCTGCTTATCCAAATAAAGCGACTGATCTGCGCTGAGCCTCCTGGGGGATGCCGAAGGGGCCATTGAAGATGGAGCGTTCCATCCCTCAGCCCTCGGCTGCCTTTACGTTCTTGGTTGCTTTGCCAATATTCCTCAGGGTGTTTCCTCGGCAGTGTAACAGCAGCTCATTAGGGAGTTCGTACTCGCAGCATTCCATGGTCCGATCTTAATGCCGCTGCCGCACGACGGCCCGTACAACGGTCACTGGGGAGGGAAGTGGAAGAGTGGCCAGCCAGTTCTCTGCCAGGTACGGATGGGGCTTGGATCTCTCCACCCCAGAGGCAGGCCGTCCATCCGTCGACGGCGACGCGATCCACCCGATGGGAACGCTTTCCCTGGACAACAGTGGACACGGCCTCCTGGAATCCCTCCGACCTTTCTTCTTGGGTCTGCCTGTCTCACAGTCCTTTGTTCCAAGGAAGAGCGCATTCTGCTAAGGGTTGTCTCTGCCGGGATGCTCCACTGGGGCGGTGCTGCTGGGAACAAAAGACCAGTGGCGGCAATACAGGACGCGTCATAGGCCTCGTAAGGGCAGACAAAGTTGCTGCTATTCATGTGAGGGCGCAGAGCTAGCCACCGAGGCATCCGTGGAGGCCTGTGATGGGAAGAGAAGAGCTGTGGCCCTAAGGGGGCGTGTTGATGTTTACCGCCCAAATATGAGTCGACTTGGCTGGCGGCTGTGTATTGGTGGAAGCGCCCTTGGGAAGCGCCCTTGCAGCGTTTGCATGGCCCAGAAAAGGGCATTGGTTGTTTACCTCTAAGAATAGTCTGGCGCTCTGCTTAGCATTGCTTGTGAACGCCCACCATCAGGGAACTAGGGAAGCGTGTTGCCCAGCAGAGCCAAGCGGAATGCGCCACGAATGAATACCGAAGATCATGCACCCTATTGGCATCTCCGGTACACTATTAAGTTGAGATATGATCTGACGTGTCAGACAATCTGCCACGACAGCGACAATCTAGTAGGTTTTGATGCGTCCTTGGGGAAATGGTGAGCGCTCAACTGGGTAGACACGCTCGGATGAAGTTGGCAAACTCGATAGACTTACCTGAAGCGTGCACTTAAAGGTGTGACAAACCGGTTATCGGGCCGCATAGGACAGCGTTCGGTTCAGCTGAAGGATTTGGCGCCTCTCGCACGGAGAACTTAGGACCCCGCACAGCATCACGGGGAACCAATCTTGGTCATAGATTGTTGAAAGGCTATAGTGTGAAAAGTTTGGAGCCCTGGCATCCAATAATCGATCAATCGTGATTCAACAGCCCTGATGGTCTAGCGGTATGATTCTCCCTTAGGGTTGTCTTGAGGCGTCTAAATCTAGGGTGAAGTCCCAGTGCCTTGAGACATCTTCTGGGAGAGGTCCCAGGTTCGATCCCTGGTTAGGGCCCATTCTTTTTCTAATTTCTTCCTTCTTCTAACCAGGGTTGCTGCTGGTGGCTTTTCGATTTTAATCTCGCGTCCTTGACAGCTTTATGCAAGCTGACAGATAACCTTATGTGTTTTGTATTTATTCTGTTAGTAAATACTCCCCTGCGTACGCTTATTTTTGTTCTTATTAGACGGGGTATAATGAGGTCGCTGTCAGTCACCGTCGGGTTAGTACAGTTTGAGCGTCCTGGACACGTAAACACCATGCAGCTAGTTGCGATGGCAAAGCCATGGAGGAGAGAGAGACTAGGCATTAAGCCATGAGCGTAGAGGGGCAAAAGGAACAGGTCAACAAACGGTCGCCCAATGACCAACATGCCACATTGAAACTGGAGAGAGGCCGTGGAAAACGCCGGCGCTGCACCTTGAAACTTCAAACCAAATGATCCCATAACTAACTAACTTTTAATTAATACACCGCATGTATTGCCTAATGTCCTGTTGTACGCTGTCCGTCTCGTCTAGTCTATTTTTCAATAATAAACCAACCCATCTGTCACCCAATTTGTACGTAATTCTCAATCTCCCCTTGTTCAGCTACTCACCGCTATTGGGACTCCATCATCTCACACCGACGGATCAATCCCCACCCGTGCATACTTTGTTTAGATGGCCGATGTCTTCAAGGGCATCTATTCCAAACAGAATCCCGGTATTACGCCCTGTAAACATCATCTGCAGAACCGCGGCCTACAGCCGCTCAGCTATCCTCAGGTTTCGGACATGGAGCCCGCTCGCGGCGCGTCCGCTCGCCCGAGGGCACCGGCGATCCGTCCCTCCGCACAACCGAGCGGTGGTGCGCGGGCCGGATCCGACCGACCCGTCCCCTGTCCGCGAACCGGTCAGTACTCCCGCTTCGGGCCGGGGAGCACGCCGTCGATGAAAGCCCCGAGGGCGTTCCGGAGAACCCCCTGTCCTCGGCCCTGGCTGACTGGCGCGTAGTTAGTCGAACGATGTCCCACGGGCGCTGTCGGCCAGCTCGGCCGTCCGCGCTGCTGCCCAGGGCCGGCTCTTACCGTTTGCTGCGCCGCCGCCGCCGTTCCTCGGATAGGCTGTCGCGGAGGCGAGCGCGACCCGCCGTACCGCCGCCTGCTCGAGACGGGAGGCGTGGGGCCCGGGACCCTCGTGGCCCCCCAGTTCTTGCGCCAGACGTACCCCCTCTCCATGGCGCCGAGCAGGGTCTCCCCGACCGGCTTGATGGGCTGGTGCTGCTCCTCGTCGTGGAGCAGCGGGCAGCTCGCGACCCGGCAGGGGTAGAAGATGCAGCACTGCTCGCCCTTGGCCATCTTCTCCCTCTCCTCGCTCGAGAGCTGCTCGTACCGCGCCCGCGCCAGCTGCCGGCGCGTCACCAGCCTCGCGCCCTCGTCGTACAGCGCGCCCGAGACGACCCGCGCCCGCGACCCCTCCGGCGTGGCCAGCAGTACCGTCGCCTGCTCCACCTTGTCCTCGCCGTTGTGGAACACGTAGATGCGGTGGTTGTGGAAGGTGTCGGCGGGCGGGATGCGGCGGAGGAATTCGGCCAGCTCCCTGGGGAGGTCTCTCGCCGGGCCCCAGATCTCGGGGTACCACCACGGGTCGTCACTGGCTTGCTCCGGGGCCGGCTCGTCCCAGGGCGCCTCGATGCGCAGAGTCGTCGCGGACCGAGGGGTCGGCGTGTGGACGTGCGGGGTGCCCGCGACCAGGACCGTCTCGAGCAGAGGCGGCTGCGCTTTGCTCCTCGATAGGGCGGCAGGGGTGTCGACCGGGACGCGGTCGTCCTCTGCGCCCTCGCTGCTCGTCTCGGAAGGACATGAATATTTCGCTCGCCTCTCTCTCATGCGACGCTCCGCATCGGACGAGGTTGTAGCAAGGGAACCATGTTGCGCCACAGTGTTGTGGGCTGTCATCTCGGACGGGGGAAGAGAGGACTCGAGGTGGTCGGCCGGCGGATACGACTTGGCCTCACTGTTCGAATCGTTTCTCCTTTCCGCCTCTAGCTGTGCCGAGTTGTGGCAATCCTCGCAGACGCGGTCCCGGGGATTCGGGACCGTTTGCGATGTGAGAGTGCCACAGAGACCGATCTCTGAACTATCCGTGTTAGCAATTTGGCTGCAGAGCTGAGGAAGGGGTTCAAGTTCTACGGTCTTCAAGCACTGTTGGCACTCTGCAACGGGCCTGAGAATGTTGCACATGATGAGTGGACGTGTGGTCTTTTTGAGTGTGTTATCTGGGAGTTGGTGGATGGGAGGAAGTTCTGTGATGTGATGTAACTGATTCGATTCTATAATATGCTGGTGGTTTTCGAGTACACGATTATACCGATTTGTCTGAGATCCTTTATATGTAATGAGCGATGGAAACTACCGAGCCCTTCGCAGACTGTCTCCTTTTTATTCCATGATCCAAGTTGAAAGACTGAACAAGAAACCATTATGGGTGTTTAGTTGACGTCCTGGCCTGGTGATCTGAGCACAAGATCTTTGTGAAAAGCTCAGACACACCGAAACCTTTGGACAGACCAAAGATTGACTTTGTTGTGTAAGTAAAAAGAAGGGAGGAAGAACAAGGGCTGCTGGTGGCGCCTTTCAGAACATGTTATCTAGCATTGAATCAAACGCGCTCGCTGTGCTTCCGCTTGTGTAAAGAACCCAAATAGCAGAGCCATATTGTTGATTAAGTGAGACAAGAAAAAAACGGGCGGCAATAACGTGAAGCACCTATTGCTATTGGTGGGATTGAAGACAAGCTGGAGATATCTAGCTGGGATGCTGCGTGGGTAGGTCGATGAGCAGCTCCCATTGGTGAAGGAGGTGGCTTATCACGTGGCCTTGCGCCACACCACCGCCACAGATTCCGCATCGCAACGAAAACAACAGCTTCAATGTTAAAGATAGCCTTTTCATTCAGAGAAGCTTGCTTGTCAACCAGAGATTCCCAACAAAGCTAGTTCAATGTAGTTAACTTCATGCGTCCCAACTTTCTGTCTAACCCTAGTGCAAACACAATGCAATATACAAAATGACAATCGCATTAGTCGCGAACAGCTCTACAGTGCTAGAGTGCTACAAATAGCAAAAGACGACGTTGGCCTGATTCGAACAGACGCTCCCGAAGGAAGTAGATTTCGAGTCTACCGCGTTAACCACTCCGCCACAACGCCTTATAACCTGGTTGGTTGAATCAGGTGGCCGAAAGCCGATCCATGTAGGTCTGGAAGCGAGTGACACCAGATTGGTTGACCCGGCTCGCGGAAAGCAAGGTCCTGATTCGCGGACCCCGCCCAAGTGGAACCATTTCTCAAGTTCAATGTGTAGTCCAGTTCAAGGCTCTCGTAGCCTCGGTTTGATAGGGAGGTTTACGTATGAGACTTCAAGATACTGTGTTTCTATCTAGAAACCTCATTTTTTTTTAATGTTGAGTCTCGGGCATGAGACGTGTTGTCCCAACTGTCTTAAAGTATTATTGTGTAGGTACTTGCGAACTCAAGAGACCATCTTGTATATGTACATGTATCTAAATCCAAATGCGGTTCTTCATGTCAACCAAATGCTTGGTTTTCGACACAATAATTTTGCATCTGATTGGAAAAGCCCCGAGAGACTCACAAAGACAAGGCTTACTACTACAAAAACCCCACCCAAGAGTTCATCCCGTGTGCTACGAACGGGGTGTTGGAATCCATGAGGTCGGCCATGCCAGCCAGACCCGCGACGATGTACACCGTGATTGCGAGGACTTGGCGGGCAAAGTCTCGAGTCAATCACCGACGCGTTGATGGACCCCATGTTCCCTCTTGATCTTTTTACAGATGCATCTGGAGAGAAGGAAAAAACCAATATTGTTCTTCTTACCTTGAATCCCAATCAGCGACGCCGCAGCCCGTGCTGCTCCTCCTCCCGCTCCTCCGCGTCCTGCGCCGTCTTGCGCGAGGCCTCCACTGCCGCCTGCCGCTGCCGCCTCCAGTCCTCGTCAATGTACCCCCCGAGCTCGAGGTCGTCGTCCCAGCACTCGTTGGGCCCCACGAGCGCGACGGCCAGCTCCTTGACGCTCGTCCGCACGTGGCCCGTCAGGCCCCTCTTCGCCTCCCACAGCGCCGCGACCAGGGCCCGCGCGGGGGTCGTCGCCATGCCTCCGCCGCCGCCGCCCTCAAAGTGCGCCCGCAGCGCCGCCTCGATGGCGTCCCAGGCGGCGTCCGTCCGGGCGCTGAGCCCGGCGACGAGGCACCGCGCCGCGTCCCACAGCTCGTGGTACACCCGCAGCAGGAACTCGGTGCGGCCGAGCTCCGCCCGCCGCGTGAGATCCGCGACGAGGGGCCTGGACGCGGTCCGAGAAGACGCCGTCGCGCTCGAGCGCCGCCTGCCACCGCGAGGTGGGCGGTTCGGCCATCTGCCGGGCGTGCTGGCACGCGGGGCACAGGCGGGCCCGCTTGGCGTACGAGTCGCGGTGGTTGACCTTGGCGCTCCTCTCGTCCTCGAAGCCGGCCCAGACCGTGCGGCAGTCGAGCTGGGGGAGCCCGCCGTGCATCATCCTGTTGCAGCCCTGGTCCTGGAGGTACTCGGCGAAGTAGCCGTCGCACCCGCCGTTCGCGGGGGTGCGGCAGCGGTGGAGGGCGAAGACCTTCATGCACATGGTTCCTGGTGCCAAGTCTGTGGCTCGGGTTTGGTTAGTATAAGTGATGTCTCTTCCAGTTCGTATACGGTTCGGCTGTGTCGTGAGTTGGAGATGACGCGGCGGAAAGCAACAGACGGCGAGTGGCCCGTCACTCATATATGCCACACTTAACCCCCATGCGAGTCTGAACAATGGCGAAGAACAGAACAAAGTCACCATTTTGGGCTTTACGATTGGGTGAGGGCAGCCAGGCATCTAACAAGACGGTTGTTCGATACACAAAGCATCGACCGAGATCGAAGCAAAACAGGGCCTAGGCTAACAAAGAACCTCGTCGCGGGCGGTTATCTTGGACAATCTCATTGGTAATGAGTTGCCATTGAACCGCTCTGACTAGTGACAATGGTTTTGGAAATGAAAGGAGATGCAGAATGGTGGCATCTGCAAAGCAGACAACGGTGGTACTTTGGTGCCTCGTGATCCATGCGAGGACGGGAAAGGTAGGCGGCTTCAACCTGGATAGAGAAGAATAACGTGCCTAAGCCTTGCTCAAACTGTGTCTGACAACGTACGTATGGAAGTCACGAGCCTCGCCAACACCGCTCTCAAGCTATCTGCAACATCGGGTGGATATCAACTTTCAGCAACGTCGACAGTCGCCAACAAGGCTTCTCGTATTGTGCCGAGGGGAATGCGGGTCATGGACAAGCGCTACGGCCCGTCGCCGCTCGGCTATCCTGGATGTGCCGTGGTATGTACAGGTAGGTATGGGGATTACAGGTTTGTTATTGACAACAGCCTTCAGCCGGCTGTTCAAGATGACATAACAAGAAAGTCAGGCTTTTGGGATCGCAACCGAGTGTTTGCGCCTGCAGCTGAAGGTGAGCCAATGGGAGGGCTTCCGCGCCGACTTGACGGCAAAGTCTACGGAAAAGGCCCTGCACTTGCAGGCATCCGAGATTCCGCGAGCTTCGTAAAGTTAGGCGAGTTTCCTCGAGGGATCTCACAGGGGGAACCCCTCCAGAGCCAAACGCCATGAGCTAAGGCCTGAAAGGACGCGCCATCCAAGCCTCGGGGGCACGGGGGATACGGACATTACATACGGTAGTAGTGAGAACGAAAAAAAGGACCCCTAAGTTCCGGGAGGCAAGGATCCGAACCCAGTCCTCGATTAGCATCCATCCAAGGTTTTGGAGCCGACGTAGGTACACTAGGTACTGGCAGGGGACCTGTCGAGGTGCGCCGCCCACCCTTATGAGAGGTGTCGCCAATCTGCCACGCAGGCGCAGTTGATTGATTGTAGGGACGGATCTCGGTCCAGCTGGTGACCAGAGAGCATGCCTGGGCGTCTAAGATTTCTGGGTCGGAGATTGATCTTCGGGGGTCTGAAGCGTGGGGAGGGTGATGGTCCAGCGGCCTGGCTAGTGAGGAGTTACAGCAGCGATTCCTGCGACAGGTGCTTGTCTGACTTCTGTGGAGAGGTTCCGGAGCAGGATCCCTTTGCGCGTGTTGGCGGTCTGGCTATGAGACAGACAGAGAGCCAGCCAGCTATGGGAGTCGGTCGAGACATGGGATATGGGATGAGAATCATGAGATTGACTGCCGGCAGATTGGGGGCTTTGGATCAATCTGCACGAGACAAGCGACCGGTTCCGGCGACGGAGGATGCGCATGCGTGGGGTATCATGGCGTCTGAGGTACCGACAATCCAGCGTATGATATTCGGGCGGACTGGCGATACGGACGAGACAAAGGCTAGCTGCAGCGGCTGTCTGTCCCATCATGGCATTTCATCCGGTGCATGTGTGTTTAGAGACTCTTGGCCGACAGCGGAGGAGAGCATGATTGGAGACGAAGAGATGGGATGATTGGTATGATCTGCGCGAGTCCATGGTTACGGTATGGGGAAAAGCTGCGGCGGCGGCAAAAAGATGCTGTTGGTCGCCTGTGCGATGTAAACTAAGAATGCGATCAGCAAATAAGTGAGAGGGAGAGAGATGGTAAAAGAGGAACAGAATGTACACATGACTGGAAGATGCTCGTGAAGCGATGTTGAGTGTTGAGCACACAAGACAAGGCCGCAGGTACGTACTGTACGCTACGTACACTGACATGTGATGACATAATCCATGTCATGTTCTGGTGAAGTCGGTACCTAATTAAAAGCGGGCAACACAAAGGAAGAATGAAGAAAAGGGACGGGACAGAGAGGACTGCCTGCTTATTGCTGCTTCTGTACGGATATGGACTAATGTCGTCCATCGAGGTCCACTCGATTGCAACACTCGCAGTCCTAAGAGTCCTGACAGTCATGGCAGTCCTGGAAGTCCTGAAGGTCCTGGAAAAGCCAATTCAAACAGACACGGACACAGAGAGGGAAGATCCAACATGAATGAACAGGACATGCCGCTGTCTGAGACCAAGCAGACACTGGTGCCGGGGAGAAACACAAGTCTCCAAGTCCCAAGTGGACGGTCTGCGTCTCAAGTCCTGCGTCTCGTTGCGCGGCAGCTACAGTCTAGCATCTATCTATACAGCATGCATACATATATACTATGTACGGTTATCCGTACTATGTATCCGTATGCGTGTCATAACTGGCATGCGGCGGCATCGCACACTACGGACGAGCAAGGTTCTCAGACGCCCAAGTAATATCACCTCGTGATAAGGCGTAAAAGTGCAGGGAATGACGCGAGCGACAACTAACAGTTGCATCAGGTAGCGAGCAGCCGAGCCAGTCCAGTCCAGTCATCAGTCCAGTCCAATCCTATGTCTGTCTAGCTAATTAGCTCTCTACCCTAGCTTTTTGCTACAATTGCTACCTGATTACGGATAATTTTGCTAGGTGCATAACCTTTTTTTCTTTCTTTTTTTTTTTCCCTTCTTCTTCTCGCTCTGGCATCCTTATCTTCCATCCCACCACCAGATTGGCTCCTCGCTGTCCCACCACATATTACCTCATACTTCATAGCTAGGATAAACATTTCGCAGCTGGATGACGGGTCTCTCGTCCTTTCTTTTCTCTTCCATCGACACCTTGCGACAGCTCCAAGATCTTCTCCATCCACATCTCGAACCCACAGTCAATTCCACTCCTTCACCCCACCGACACCGACACAGACACCGACGCAGACACAGACAGACCGAAACACACTCACACACACACACACGCACCCGAGCCAGACAGACCTGGACTTGGATAAACTATGACTGCGTCTTTGCCTGCAGGGAGATGATCGCGTCTCACTCTCGCAGCTGAAGACTGACTGACGCTGCTGACGTCCACACACACACGCACACACACCCCACCCCCCCTTCACTCAGCTCTCACCGAGTCGCCGCTACAAGACAGAGAGAGAGAGAGAGAGAGAAAGAGAGGGAGAGAGATCCGGCTTCCCTTCACTCGTTATTTCGCAATATCGCGCCTCCCGCTCGTAATTGCTTGCTTTCCCTCGCCTGCGACCACCCGCCACCCCTGCGCTGTCGCGCCCCCCCCCCCCCCCCCCCCCCGGGAAACAAGAACCCCCCCTTTTGCAACAATACCTAGGGAAACCCATCCCGTTACCATGTTTTCTCACCTTCGAATCCACCGGCGCGGCCAGTCGAATCCCACCTCGCCAAACCCCGACCAGTCCTCTCCCTGGGATCCCTCGCTTCCCCAGCACCAGCAGCACTCTCCCTTCCTTCAAGATGCCGCCTTAAGCCCAGGCATGCGACCCCAGCCCTCGACCTCGCCGAATTCCTCTCTTCCTCCCACCCTGCCGCCAATCACCCGCGTCACCTCCTCCGGCTCCGAATTCACACTCGATCGACCGACTCCCGATGCTACAGTGGCGCAAGAGCCCGCCGCCCAGAGACCTCACCCGCCGCCGCCTGCTCCTCCCTCCGCCCGCTCTACCTACAACCCCGATTCCGGCTTCCTCGGTGGCGTCGCCCTGCGCAAGTACGAGCGCGAGCAGCAGCTCAAGCAGCAGCAGCAACAAATGGCGGCCAGATCGCCCGACTCGGCTGGCCTCTCCCCTGTCGCCCGTGCCAGCCATGACATCCCGTTCACAAAGTCGAAACCCGCCCCGCCGCCAATAGTTACCAGCCCTCCGGCCGCGAGACCCCCGCCACAGCCCACGAAGTCGTCGAAGCACTCCAGCTCCTTCACGACTCCAACCGAGCTCCAACACCACGGCCTGCCCCAGAGCTCGCCACAGCTTCCGGATAAGGCTGCCACCGGCCGCCGTCCTGCCGGAACGAGACTGTCCAGCGAACCCGTCCGCCTGGCGAACCACAACTCCGACGCCCCCAAGGGCAGGAAAGGCCTGCCTTTCCTGAAAAACCCCATGTCGACGCTATTGGCGAGGAGGAGGACGAGCCAGAACGCTCCCGACCTGACGCCTCTGCCGCTCCGAGGAAACAGGCTGGCCGAACCGACCTACGATCCCCGCATCCGGGGCACGCGCGTTCACGACTTCAGTGCTCCCCGCCCGAGGCGCAGCCTCCCGAACAACGAAGGCCCAAGTCCCGCCCCGGCTTCGACGTCTCTGTCCTCCGCGTCCAAGTCGCAGCCGCCGACGTCCGAAGAGAAGCTGGACCTGGACCTGGGCTTGACGTCGTCGAGGGAGAGCAGTGCGCTCTCACAAGCGCAGGTGTCCCATCAGGGGAGGAACGCGAGCAGTGCTTCTGAATCTGGCCGATCAGGTTCTGCCAGCATCATCTCACAGCCAATGCCCGAATCTGGCAGCGGTTCGGTCAAGGCAAGAAACAGTATAAACCTGGAATCGAAGCCGCTCCCTGATGTTCCGTTCAAAAACGATAGTACTCCATCCTCCAGCTCCGCCTCCGTCATCTCGAAGAGGGCGTCCGTCGGGGCCGTCTCGTTTATGTCGAAAAGGGCGCCCTCCACAAAAGCACCCCCCTCCAGGCACGTCTCCATGTCCGGCCAGGATATCCTGTCTTCGGTGCCCCGTCACATGAAGAGCACGTCCTCGAGGTTCAGCTTCGACATGGCGGGTGCCGCAAAGCAGGAGAAGCTCCTCGAGGAGCGCCATCGTCAGCGCGAGCTGGAGAGGAAGACATCCGATCCCGAGCCGAGCCAGAACCGCGATTCCAGATTCGACGACTTCGACGAGGACTTTGACTACGACGCAATGATGGAGGATGACGGGTTCGAGGAGCCAATCCCGATGAGCAACGATTTTGAGGACGACTACGGCTATGAGGAGGACTTTGATGCCGGAGGCACAGACCCTCTTGGAGGAGATGCCGAGGAAGGCTTCAATGCGGCCGGGACAGCACTGGACACGGTGCCCGAGGTCGAGGTCGAGGCTGCCGAGGATGCCGAAGACGACCCCGACAACGACCAGGAGAACTTTGCTGGCTTCGTCTTCCAGCGGTCGAACCCTCCATCGGCGTTGGCTAGCCCTCATAGCGCCGGTCTGGTTTCGACGCCGAGGGATGCCGACGGCAGGGTGATTGGGTTCGCCTACTCGGGATCGCCCAACCTCGATCAATTCTCGAGGCCCGTCTGGACGCCAGGTCTGTCTCCGCACCACGATCCGTCGCAGGCGACTACGGGACCGATTGCTGGACTTGCCATTGAGGGCCTGGATATTGCCAGCCCAGAACTGCAGGACGAACCGGTGTACGAGCAGACTCAGCAGCTGGCGCCTCCTCCCCCCGCACCTCCGAGCAAGGATGACCTCTACTTTGATAACGGTCTTCTGGATGAACTAGAGTTCGCCGGAGAGGGCGACGGCTCCCACTTTGACGAATCCATCTTCGACCTGGATGACACAGATCAATACGGACGGCCCATCCCCGGCGCGTTTGCCGCTGCCCAAGCTGCTCGCGCTGCTGCTGCCGCCACCACCGCCGCTCCCGAAAACAGCACCCAAAACAACAACGCTCAAAATGGCGACGCCCCGGAGAGCAGCAAGAGGATATCCGACAGCACGTCGCGGCTTTCTGCCCAGTCAAACACGTCGCAGTCAACAGGCCACACGTCTCTGAGCGTCAGCATGCCAGCCCCTTCTGTCGAAGACTCAAAGCGGGCCAGCGAGGTCCTGGCCCAGGGCCAGGAATCCTCCGCCATGACGTCGAGTTTCTCGACGACCGGGCCGGACAAGGTCGAGGCGTACCAGACAGCGCTGGCTGCCGCAGCGTTTGAGGCAGCCGCCAACGGTCGGTTTCGACGAGACTCCTCACCGCCTCCGAGCGAGATCATGTCGCCTGGCGGCGAGTCCTCGCACAGCGTACCGCACGGGGAAGACAACTACGGCGGCAACTATGACGATAACTACGACGACTATGACGACGGCGGGTTTCGCGAAGACCTCAACGACTACGACGTGGACTACGACGACTTCATTGCCGAGGCGAACGCTAGTGCCCTTGCCAACGACTCGGACGGTTGGTACGGTCAGGAGTTCGGGTTCTACTCCGCCCCCATCGAAGGCGGCCGCCACAGCAGAGACAGCTCGAACGGCTCGGACGAGAAGCCGTTCGAGTACGCCAACGGCGGCTTCTTCGGGCCGTCGGGCGTGTCTCGCAGCAAGTCCGGCAGGATCGTGTCGCGCGAGCCCAACCTCACACCCATCACGGAACGGTCCGAGTACTCCAACCGTAACTCGATCATGAGCCTCGGCGTGCCTCCTATCGGGTCCGGTCCCTCGAGCCTCCAGAGCCCGGGCCTGGCGCAGCTCGCCATGATGGCCGACGGCGACGAGAACATGAGCATATCGGCGCTCATGAGACTGCGCTCGCGGGCGTGGGGCGGGTCGCAGGCCAGCCTGGTCTCGTCCCGCGAGGGCTCGCCCCGGTCCGAGAGAGGCGAAGGGGGGAGCTCGCCATGGGGCCCCGGGCCCCACAGTAGCAGCAGCAACAACATCCTCGGAATCCACGGCCACGCCCGCAAGAACTCGTCATTCTCCGTCCGCAGCCGCGACATGGACTCGTCGGACGCCGGCAGCACCGCGGGCTCCCCCACCATGACCATGTCCATGCCCACGACCGTCGGGTCTCCGCCCCCTCCGCTGCCGTCGCTCACCCAGAGCCCCGCGGTGACCATCGCCTCGCCCCATTTCACGCACAGCGCCGCCGGGTTCGACCCGGTGCCCGAGACGGACGAGATGGACGAGATGTCCATCTCCAACAGCATATCCCACTCGGGCCTGTGGATGAAGAGCCCCGACACCGACGTGCACCCGAACCTGGTGCCCCGGACCGATCCCACGACGCCGCAGCAGCAGGAGCAGCAACAACAGCACCAGCAGCGGCAACCCGGCATGGGTCACAAGCACAAGGGGTCCGCGGACAGCATCTCGTACGTCAAGGAGGAGGAGGAGGGCGGCGAGACGCGGTGGGTGCTCGAGAGGCGCTTCACCGCCGACAGCGGGGAGATTGAGGTGCAGCGGGAGGTCGTTGGAAAGGGCCACATCTAGGCCATGCGGTCCCAGGTACTCAAACCATGGGCATACATATAAATATATATATATATATATCGGATGGAAGGGTACGAGAGGGGGATGAACACGCCCCAACGAAACCCCGCACCGTCGAAACGACGGAAACGATCATCATCCAACAGCAACAGCGAACTTGGCCTTTTTTTTATACTTGGGTTTTCCCTTTTTTGTCGAAACTTGATACCTCGGTGGGTGGAAGAAGTGGAAAAGAGGATTTCTGATAATGGTATTTACCTCTTATAGACACAGAATAAAGGGGCTCGCTCCCCTTTTCCTCACGGCACGCATAACTACAACGCATTTCGTGGACGCGAAGTGTAAAAGTAATTGTTACAAAAGGTGGAGGGGGGTATATCACTGAAACAGGAGGAGAATGACAAAGAATATATCAAGGAGTACCACTTGGGTTTGTTTGACTGACTACTCTCATGTGAGGTATGGGCTTGAAGGAGGAGTGGAAATGGGAAGGGAAAGGGACGGCTGTGTCCGTAGTTTTGTCGTGATTCCAGATGGCCCGTTTGCGCGGCATGGTATATATATCCCAGAGCAGCAGCATCAGGACCGATCCTTCACAGTCGGTGTTGCACATCTCCAATGATCTCGGCCTCTTGAGGAACCATAACCCCCGCCTTTGATCCCTTTTTCACGATGACCACCATCGTGAGGACCAACCCGGCAACGATCCGCCAGAGGACCGTCTCCCACGCCCCTTCCGCCCTCCGGTCCTTGCCTCTCCCCTTGGCCTTCAGAGACAGCCAATCCGGGCGGCACGACGGCGAAGGGCGCCTCCTCGTCGCGTACCCGGACGACGGGTAGTGAGTGCTACGTGCTATGAAAGAAGCGGTCGACGGCCATCGAGGGATGCCTCGCGGTACTCCTGCATCCCCCAGCTCCAGAATAATAAAAGGCTGGTGGATAGAACAAAGCCATGCTCCAAATTTCAAGTTTCAAGGTTGTCTTTACATGCAGAAACATCTCGTCCATCAACGGATATCGTGCCAGACCCGCCCGTCTTCAATCCCTCACCCGTCGCAGGAGTCGCCAAACAATCTCTGCAGCCCGAAGAAGTCGTGAACGTCGGGATAGCCAATGGAGGCCATGAGCCTATCTTCCAAGTATGCGTGTTTCAACAAGAAAGCCTCAAAAGCCAACCTGGCTTTGCATGCCTCCCACAAACGACTCCCGGCTTGAACCAATAACCCGACCACGCGACTTCTGAAATGCAATAGTGCCCACATCAACGGAGTGTAGCCCTTCCGGTCTCGTGAGTTGATGTCAACCTTGTTGTTCGCAATGAGAAGCGATACGATCTTTTCGTAGTTTTTTTGAGGGACCCAAAGATACCCTTCAGCGGCCCAAGAGAGCGGCGTACGCCCGCTGTTGTCGCAACAGTCGGGGTCTATACCTTCTTGTGACAATAATAGACGGACAGCATCGACTTGGCCGTTTCTCGCAGCCCACGAAATAGGCGTCACACCGGTGTTGTCTTTTGAGTTGATGTCAACACCATTTGTTAGAACCCGACTCGGAGCAGCATTCTTGTTTGACGGTTCAGAGAACGAGGCCAATGCTTGTTCGCAAATATCCCGGATTTGCCTGTTGTCAGAGAGGCCGACTGATCGGCTCAGTTCGTTCTTGCCCGCTGCCACGGCGTCCAGTTGCGTCTCAAGAAGCATTTTCAAGACAACCTCTTCTCCCATACCGGCCGCCCACGATAATACCGATCGGCCATCATTATCTCTCGAATCGACGTCAACCTGCCCTGTGTTGAGAAGCACCTGGGCGATCTCATCATATCCCTTCTCGGCCGCCCACGATAACGCCGATCGGCCACCATTATCTCTCGAATCGACGTCAACCTGCCCTGTGTTGAGAAGCACCTGAACCATCTCATAATATCCTCTCTCGGCCGCCGACGATAACGCCGATCGGCCATAATCATCTCTCGATTCAACGTCAACCTGTCCTGTATTAAAAAGCAACTGGACAACCTCTATGTGGCCTTCATGGGAAGCAGCCTGAAGGGCATTACCATACTCGCCACCCTGAGCGTTGACATCTGCCCCATTGCTGAGGAGCAACTTAACAACATCTATGTGGTCTAGAATAAGAGCAGCCTGAAGAGCATTACCATGCTTGCCGCCCTGAGCATTTACATCTGCTCCATTACTGAGGAGCAACAACTGGACAAGCTCTATGTCGCCTTTAAAGGAAGCAGCCTGAAGGGCACCATTATAATAGTCGCTTTGAGCGTTGACATCTGCTCCCTTCAGTACCAGCTGCTTTGTAGTTCCACCGAGCCCAGTAGAGCATGCGAAATATAGACAGGATGCTTCTGTGTATTTCAATTGTATAAACGGTTCCCTGCCGCCTGTATACAATCGAAATTCGGGTGGAAACAGTCGGATCCATTGTTCAAGTGCTGTTTTGTTGCACAAGAAGTTAACCGTTGCAGCCGACACAGCTTCGTCCACACCTTCAGCAAGCTTAGCATGGTTCAACCAAACTTCTGCAGCATATCTTGCCAGTGGAAAGCACCGCATAATGATTCTGCGAACTGACTTGTCCTCCTCATCCAGTTCTACTTCTGATATGCTGGTGACATAGGTCGAACGTGCGTGGGTGATCCTGGCGGCTTCTTTTGCCATACTGGTGAGGTAGGTCAAGCACATGTGGGTGATGCTGATGCTAGCCTCTGCGTGACGAAATCCCTCGACATCATAGTGTAGAAGGTATTCCTTGACGGAGAAGTGAGCTAGCTGCACTTCCTCCACCTCTTCTTCGTATTCTGATTTTGAAACTCGGGCAATGGCCACCAGGCTTGGACAAAATCGCATGATATCGGCTGGACAAGGCAGCCTGTCTTCGGGGTCAAAAAACCGTTGACCGTTGTCAAGCCGAACGGCTACCGCATCTACGGCTTTCTCGAGTTCCAAAGGTCGGACAGAATGGACAAGAAACTGGAGAAGGCGGATCGCTTTCATCTTGCGTTGCTGTGGAATTTGCTGGAGGATGCGGCTATAGGTCTCGTTCAGATCTCGGGGCAGAGCTCGGAGAGCTGCCTCGATTCCTTCGCGGTCCAAGCACACTTCAAGGCTATCAAGTTGACAGGCTGCCCATCGGAACCTGTTTAATATGTTAGCAAGAGTTCGCCCAGGAGAAATGATTCGGGACATAGCCATACATTCCATCGGCTTTCCTTCCAACTTCGCGTTCAATTTTTCTCTAGCACTGATGGAATAGATGACCACTTCTTGAACTCCGGGCTGTGCTTTAGTCTGTCTTTGATATAAGCGTGGATGTCGATGGTGACAGACTCCTTGTTCAACTCTTTGCAGCTATCCTTGCCAATCCAGACGGGAATGCTGCGTCGGAATTCCTCTTCGGGTCGGCTGGTGGCAAGCAGCTGAACGTGGTCGAAATCAGGATTAGAAACGATGTTCTCTATCCAATCGAGAAGTTTTTCTCGCATAGTGGATTCGTCCAAAGCGTCGAGAATGATGTAAACCTTCTTGGACCGTTTCATCATGGCGTGAAGAGTGTTCGCCAGTGCCGTTGTTTCCGGCTGTTGGCCACGGCAAGAGTTGAATATAGCGTCAAGTTCATTTGCAGCCTCACCCCCGTGGTTGTAGAGCTGGAAGATGAGTGGACGGAGTAGGTCATCCAACTTCTGCTTCGCCGTATTGCTGAAATCGAAAAAGAATTCAAGAGTCACGCATCCCTCTGTGCTTTTGAGATGATGGAGAACCTTGGCACATAGGACGGTCTTACCGCATCCCGGTAAACTGTGAAGCCACAGATGGCGACGCGATCCGAGTTCCCATTCCTCAAAGGCGGCGCCCTTTATAAACCACGTGCCGGTTCCTTCAAGTTGCACCTTTCGCGCATGGTTAAAGTTGGTGGATGTGTCCGGAGGCGAGAGCCATTTCTTGATTTGCGCGACACGGCCATCAGATTGAATCGACTTGACCGTTTCACCGATCTGATTTGCAGTAAATTGAATATTGGTTATGTTTCGTTCCACTAGACGAGTTAGACAAGACGACACGAAGACTCGACACACTAACGTGATTTTAGGACTTCTTCTATTCTCTTCTCGCCTTCGATCCTGCTGATCGAGATCTGGTTGAGAAGGTCCTTTGCATACGCCGCGGCCGCCATAGCGGCAAAGTCCTGCCACTCCTTGTTCTTGTGGGAATCCGAATAGTCGCATATGCCACGGATGACCAGACAGGGGAAGTGGTTCATCAGGCCCGCTGCTCCCATCTCGAAGCAGAGTACATCATTCTCTTCTGCGAGCTTATCCCTCACGCGCGCATCCTTCATCAGCTGATTCGCAGAGGCCACAAGCCCATAGTGGATAGCCGGGTCATCGTCTTCATCTCTGTCGCGTTGGCGGCGCAGCACCAAGGCCGAAGGTTCGTTGCCACAGACCTGGCTGCAGCCGTCCTTTGTGTCTTGAGGGTGCACGACGTCCGATTTGTACAGCCTGTCACTGCTCGACGGCGGCCGCGAATACTTATTTCGAAGGCGCGGCTTTTTCTGGAGAACCGCCTCGATTTGATCATCAAGCTGATGACCGTCAACCTCATACATGGCCTCAAGGCTGGCCACAGCTGTCCGCAGGACCTGCGGTGGCTGGTTCAGGAACCCGGTCTGCTGAAAGGCCTGGGATTGGATCGTCTTGCCGAAATCGTACTGCAACACGCCGCTTTTTCCGTCGCGCGGGCGACTGACGACGATGTCGCCAAGGCGGATATCGTGCTCAGGGGTCGGAGCACCGCCTCCTATCCCGACCATCAACCCAACCCGGATGTTGGGGAAGCTGTGCAACATGTCCCTGGCGACGACGGCGGCCGAGTTCGTGCCGTATTCACCCTGGGGCAGAACGGCGATGACTACATTGTGGCCACTGAGACTGCCTAGAGCGTAGCTATTGCTGTCTTGAGGGGCAACGCGCGCAGGTTTATCGTGCCTCTCGTCAAGGAAGGCTTGTGCGGCGACGAACTCGGTGGTAATGGCGCAGATCCAGCCGACGGTGTAGTTTTCCGGGTTCGAAGTGATTTTGATGAGACTACAGACGGTTGGCGGCAACCAGATGGACCTTCAACGACCATTCGAAGGGCCAGGAGGTGGTGTTTTGGAGAAATCAGGCTGGGATGCCCATCGAATGGTCTCATTTCCAACGCCCATGGGTCGGCGTAAGCGACAACGGACCAGTCGCTGTCTGCTGTGCCGCGGACATGGGTTGTTATCGGGACTTGATTGGCATTTGGCAAGTTACCGACGCCAGACTGTGAGAGAGCTCTTCGAGGCAACTTGCTGCCAAACGTATTGGGAGCGCCGTTCAGAAGCGTGTAACCGGGACGTTGGTGAGGCCATCCATACATCTTCCACCACGTTAAACGTCCAAATGAACTCGGTCCGTGCACAGCACAGGAGGCAAGCTCGAAGCTAAAGCCTACGCAGAGTTGGGAAAGCACGTGGCAGACCTCGGCCCCTTCCGCTCCACCTAAGGATCCCACTCTCCCGAGTGAGCCCGTCAATGACATTTTCGATGCAATCCATCCCGAGCATTTTCGCCTCCTTCAACTTTCCACCAACACATCTTCATAACCACATCCTTATCGAACCTCTTCTCCCCCAACCCCCTTCGAACACATCAAAAAAAGAAAAAGAGCAGAAAAAGAAAACAACAATGTCCCGCCTCCTCCGCCTCCGCCCCCTCCAAACCACCATCCACCGCGCCCCCGCCGCCGCCCGCCTCTCCTCCTCCTTCTCCCGCGGCCCCGCGCCCCCCCGCCTCCCGGCCGACCAACAAGCCGAGTTCGAGCGCCTCCAGCGCGAGGCCTCCGTCTCCAGCGCCTTCCAACACCTCGTCCAAGACGACTCTTCCTCCCCCTCCTCCTCCTCTGCTGCTGCCGCCGCCGCCGCCGCCGCCGTGGACCCCTCCTCCGCCACGCAAACGCCCTCCAGCGACCCCCTCGCCTCCGCCCAGGTCAACGCCGCCGTCGCCGACTCCCAGGCGCCCCCCACCCCGACCGTCGCCGCCACCGACGAGGACACGATGCACCCCAACTACGTCCGCGGTGCGCCCCCCGAGTTCGAGGGCGACGTCAACCCCCGCACCGGCGAGGTCGGCGGGCCCAAGCGCGAGCCGTTGCGCTGGGGCGCCGCCGGCGACTGGAGCTACAACGGCCGCGTGACCGACTTTTAAAAAGAAAGAGAATAGCGCCGCGGGGGGGGGATGGAGTTCCCACCGAGGCGCAAGTCTCTGGTTAGCTGCCCGGGGACGGTCAAAGTGCGCGAGAGACGTCCCCAGGCTCGAATTTTTTCTATAAAAAAAGAAAAAAAAAAAAAGACGGAACATGTCCCCCGTTATAGAGATGGGTTTATGAGGAGGCCTCGCAAGAGAAACGGCCGGGGCCAGGGCCAGGTGTACCACCACCAGTGTACAGTACATTACATACCATATTCAATGCAAGATACCAGTCAGTCACAAGTCATCGTGCGAGTCCCGGCCATCATGTACTCGAAAGTGTGTGTGTGTAATGGGTATTTGTAACCACCACCGCTACTCCTACAAAACACAACTACAGCTCCTAAATCCGTTGATATTCATCCGCTGTCCAACTCTTGTTCTTGCACGCCGTCCGTTTCATCACGTTTTCGTTACAAAAAAAGTTTCGACGTTTCGACGTTTCACGCTTCACGCTTTGGTGGCCGCGGCGGCCTTGCCGGTCTCATCCACGTCCATTTTGTCCGCCTTGTCCGCCGACGCGCCTTTCATGGCGGTGGCGCCGTTCGTCGCGGGGCTCGTCGTATTGCGAGCCTCGTCGCCGGACCTGTTCTCTTTCTCGCCTTCAGTGGTCGAGCTGTGCTCCTTGTCGGCCACGCCGTTCTCGCGGCCCTTCTCCTTCTTCCACCACGTACCAGAGACGATCTCGCCCCGGATCTTGTCGAGGCGCTGCTTCTCGCGCTCCAGCGCCGCCCCGTTGAGGCCGCGGCTGGCCACGTTAATCTCGCCCATCGCCTTCCGCATGCGCTCTCGCCGGCCCTTACCACGGAGGCGACTCTGCGCGCCGGCGCCGTTGGTGACCCAGCGTATGCCCGTCACCATGAAACTGAGGCCGTCGTGGATCGACTGGCGGCCGTTGTACCGTCCACCGTACTCGCGCGACTGGAGGCCGAAGCGCGTGGTACTGCTGTACTTCTCCAGCCGTGGGAGAATCACGATGCTCACGTGCATGTCGCGGTCGGCAGGCACGTGGACGGGGCCCGTCTTGGGCGGCTGGTCCAGGTATGTGGCCGAGTTCGCCTCGAGCCTCGCCTTCTCGTCCTTCTCCTTTTCCTTATTGCGTCTCTTACTCGCAGGGAATTCCTTCTCGGGGGCAGAGAGACCTCGATCGAGGTCAAGCAGGGAGGTATCCACGTCGTCGCCCCATTCTCCTCGAATCCACCCCCCATGAATACAGGCGGCAACAACATCGGAATCGTCCGTGTAGACATCCGTGCCCCACAAAGCCCTTCGCGCCGTGATCTCTTCTCTGGCTACCGGGGTGAGGTGAACTTTCGGCACCTTGACGGTCAGCGTGCAGTTCTCCTTGTCCTTGATCATATCCCATGGGAGCGGCGTCGGGGTCGAGGAAAAGCCACGGCCGGAAGGAACGTTGGGTATTTGCCGCGCGGGCTTTAGCTTCGGTTCGTAGAGCACGTCTCCTAGGTGCGTCCGGGGCCGGTGAGCGACCGCTTCAAGGACGGCCTTCGATGTCACAATCGTCTTGGGCTTGGGAGGGAGAATGCTGGTCGGGCTCTGCGCAGCCTGCTTGGCGGGCGCTTCCTTCACATGGGTATGCAGGTGCGCGGGCCGGGGGACGTGATGGTGATGAGCGGCCGGCAGGTCCTTCGTGGGTCCGGTGGTCGGCGAAGGGATGGGGGTGATGCCCTTGACGTTCTTGAATGGCGTAATGCCGACAGGAGCGGGGGTGGGGGCGTTGGCGTGGTCGGCGCCGTGGTGGTGGTGGTGGTGATGGTGGTGGCTGCTGTCGTTAGTCGTCGTTGACAGACCTGAGGGAACCGGTACGTACTGGTGATGGTGGTGTGCATGAGTCTTTGGGCGCTTTGCTCGGCCGACGGGGGTCAGCCGGCCTGTGCTCTCGTCGTCCCCTTTCGTATCCTCCTCTTTAAGCTTTCTTCTCCTGCCCTTGGGCTTCGGTGCCACAGCCTCGGGGCCGGATTCGTGCGTAGCGCTATCCGTCTCGTCGCGTCGAGCAAGACTTGCGTTCGTGTAGGGTAACTGAGCTCCTGCGGTCACGGGGCTGCCGACACCAAGGCCAGTAACACCGCTTCCGATTCCTGAAAACATCCTGCCGAATTCGCTCTTGATACCCGGCTCTCCCGCAGGGCCCGGTAGTTGTGGCTGGGCTCCCTGAACAGCCTGCGGCATCGGCGAGACGCGTCCCTTGCGGTTGATCTCCTGAACCGCTAGCAAGTTCCTTTGGTGGTGGTGATTGTTGTTGGGATGATCTTCCATAGGTCGATTACGAGGCGAATCGTACATCGGAGGAACGTGTGGTGTGTTATACGCGACTGATGGAGGAGGGGGGCCTTCTTCGCCGGGTCGTCGGTGCGTGGGAGCTGGTTGCGTCTGGGGGTGGAGGTGATTGGCCCTTTGCCGCTCGGGGGAATCAAAAGGCTGCTGTTGCTGGTGCTGTCCAGGCTGGCCTGGCGGGGGCTGCTGGGGATGATTCGGGGGACCGGGAGGGTATCGGTCGTTGGGGGGAGGCTGTTGTTGGAACTGAGGAGCGGGAGCAGGATGACTCTGGCCCGGGTAGTTGGGCGCAGAGCTGGGAGGGTATTCATGGTGGTGTCGAGGATGGAGGCCAGCAGGATCGTACGGTACCCTGGACTGATCGAAAGGTGGCGGCGGCTGCTGCTGATGCTGATGTTGATGCTGATGCTGATGCTGATGCTGATGCTGATGCTGATGCTGTTGTTGTTGCTGCTGCTGCTGCTGCTGCTGCTGATGGTGTTGCTGCTGTTGCTGCTGTCGAGGTGGCCACGGCCCTTGTTCACGCTGCTCGGGCGGCCGGGTGAAGGGAGGGGGCTGACCCCTCTGTACCTCCTGCGGCCGATAGTCACCCTGCGGAGCACGTCCACCATCGCCGCCGGAGTATGCACGCTCCCTTCGCTCTCTTTCCCTGAACTCAATTTCTTCCCGACGCTCTCTCTCCGCCCGATATCGGTCGTCGAAAGTCATCGGCTTCAAGTCTGGCCTTTCCGGATTGTATTCCATCGAACCTCGTGGGACCTCCTCACGACGTTGATACATCTCCTCGGGTCCGTTGTTCCGGCCCATATCTACGGTTCGCTGAGGCATGTTCTGCTGCTGGAAAGACTTGGGTTGACTCGTAGGTCGAGGGGGAGGAGGGCCTTGAGACATGCGATTCGATTCTCTGCCGTCCTGTGTCGACGGGCCTCGCTGGTGGTACCCCTGCTGTGGCGTGCCGTACCGCTGCACCTCGGGGGTGGTGGAATAGGCGCCCTGTGGCGAGGCGGCGGCACTGCCTCTCGGGTCGTAGGGACGCGCGTGCTCTGGAGTTTGCTGTCGTCGGAAGGGCTGGTACTCGGAGGAGGCAGAGTGCATCCTCGGGGAGGCCTGCATCGTCGGCGCAAACGTCGGGCCGGAGCTCGCAGAGGTAGCGGGCGGATGGTAATGCGACGGGGGCGGCTGTGAATCTCTCGCCGGGGGTGGCCCTCCCAGCATGGAAGATATCGACATGGAGCTTCCCGTGCTCCCTGTCCTTTGTATTGAGTTCAAAGAGGGAAGCTCACGGCCGCCGGGGAATGAGCTCGGGTGGCCGACACTCAAGGGTGGGGCTCTCGGCGCAGGCAGACCGTAATGGCCCATTTGATGCGACGGCGGCGGGGGATTTCCCGGCTGTGGAGGCGAGCCCGGAGGAGGCATATTGCGATTCAGAGGCGCACCGGGGGGTAATGAGGATGCACTCGGGTGCCGAGAGTGGCCGGATGAAGGAGGAGGGCCGGCGTTGTTGGGTTCTTGCGAGTAGGGTCTCGGACCGGAAGAATAATAAGGGTTTTCTGAGGAGCGTCGCTGATGCTCGGCATGCGGATGGGATACGGGGGGGAAGGGCGATTGATTCGGGGTCGAGTTGGCCGTCGTGGTGGAGGATGGAGGAAAAGGCGAGCGACTGTACTGCGAGGCAGCGTTGCGCGAGAAGGGCAGCTGTGGCGGCTGCTGTCTTGGATCCATCGCGCCGAGTTTTTAGCTCAAAGCCCACGAGGTGGATTGCACATTAGGTGGTGAGGTGGTGCGTCAGGGTGACGGCGAGTGGGATGCGGATGCGGTGGAGGCTATCGCAGAACAGAGTCGGGTGCGTGTGCGTGTGCCGAACAACCACGACGAGACTGTTTACCGGGGGGGGGATGGGCGAATGGGAGGGTATCGTCGATTATCGTCGTCGCGCGGAGCGAAGATGCGAGTTGAGGGACAAGGTAGATGCGAGCAGCAAAAACCGGTGGGTGAAGAGATGAGGCGAGAGGTGGGAGGTGAGGAAGGGGAGGGAGGAGGAGGAGGAGGAGAAGCGGGAGCAGGAAAAGAGGAAGGGTCGAGAGGCCGAGGAAGATCGCGACACACTGTTGTGTTACACGGACGCAAGAATTATTCTGGATTCCCCTGGTCGGATCCTGTTTGGGTGGGGCTGCCGGGTTGGGTACTGAACTGGGGTGGGCTGGGGTGGGCCGGGTCCTGGCATTGCAGCGTGACAGCTCAGCTTTGCTCGTGCTTTGCCGTCACTCTCTCAGAGGCCTTCTTCTTCTCTTTTTTTTTTCCCCTTACCTTTTCTCCCTCCTCTTTAGTCCTGGTCATCCTCAGTCCGTCGCCCGGGGATGGCTGGACAGGGTTATGATGTTTTTTTTTTGTGGTGTGGGTGGGTATGGGTACACATGCAGAGAGTCCCCTGTACGCTATGGAGTGATGTATATTGCACGTACTATTACCTACGAGTACGGATACCAGTACTACGTAGTTTAAGTATGTGTACTGCTACCTACCATGAACGGATGGGGAACGGGTTTGGTGGTGTTGGAGGTGAGGAGTGACTTTGGGGCTGCGTGACCTCTCAGAAGTTGGGGATGCCGCTGGCAAATGGGCGCAAATCGGCCGGCAAGTGACAGGGGTGCTGGGGGAGGTTCGTTCGCGCTAGTGAGACAGCTGGTCCCCCGTTGACGGGAAACGATGATGTCGATGCGCCGCCGCGTACCTGAGGGTAGTGGGCAGCTGGTTGATTGTTGTTGTTTTCCTGACTTGTGTGCTAGCTGGTATCTGCTTCTGCTGCTGCCGATGCTTTTCTGCACGTCGTATATGAGAGGGAGGGAGGGAGAGAGAGAGACGGGGAAAGCGAAGGAGTGAGTGCGTGTGTATACGATAATCGTTTGTCGGCGCTTTGCTTTGCTGTTTGGTGCTGGCGTCGTCGGATTCGAGGGGTGGATTTACGGCCAAGGTACAGATACCTACCTACCTGTATGGTCAGAGCTCTCGAAAAGGACCCTTCCGAGTTTCGGCTTAGCAGTTTCGATGAAGAGATGAATACGAATGGTGGGGAAAAAAGGGGTCCGGACCACGTATATCCAACGTCAAGGCTGATCGACTCCTTTGCTTTTGCTTTTTGCTTTTCTTTTCCTCACGTTGCTATCTATTGCTACGGCCTCTCGCAATCTCATCCTCCCCCCCCGGAGTCGAAGCTAGAGGGTGTAATTACAACGAATTGTAATCGATTGTACGTACGTACAAACGGTACCATGTACGTGTGTGCCTGGAGAAGTGTTTGCGTCGCGCCCTACGACGGATGCATAGACCGGCCGGATGGTGTCGACGACGTAAGGGATCTTTGAAGTACGAGGAGGAGGACAAAGAGATGCGACAACCCAGAAAAGGGCGATCGAGGGGTTCCCGAGCTTATGCAGGAAGAAGCGGTCCGCAGAGTCGTAATTAGTGCGTGTTCGCTGGCAATAGACTAATACCATGTGCTTAGTACCGTCACCGCCGTCACAGGCATCTGATCAAGGGATGCGGGGTGGGGAAGGCGACTCTGTGGGACGCGGAAGGGGTCGAAATACAGTGCACATACAAAGAGACACACCTGCAAAACGCATATACGTAGTAAACTAACACAAACGGGCGAGGTAGCGGCGCGGCGCGGCGCGGTGCGGTGCGGATGGACGCAGGGGACAGATAGTGCGGTGTCAAAAGTGCGTATCCGTGAAGACGACGAGAAATGGTATGTGCGGCAGTCATGGCGTACGGCGGGATATTGGGCATGGCCTCCAGGTTTGATCAGCAACACGTTTGGACGAGGGGGGAGGGGAGAGCAAACACCATGCAGGTTACTGCGTGAGAGATGGGGTTGCAGAACAACATGCAGAACCAGCTGGCGGTGACGGGTGTGTGTGTGTGTGTGTGTGTGTGTGGAGTGGAGGTGGTTGTGGTGGTGGTTGTTGTGGTGGTTATGATGGTGGTGGTGGTGATATGCTTGATGTCAATAACGGGCAATGTTCGCGGTCACGGACCACCTCTACGTCCGCGTCCATTAGAGTGACGGGAGCCTGAAAAGGCAAAGATACCTAGACGAATGGCAGGCGGGAGGGCGGTTCCAGGTCCGAAGCCAGGGTCGGGAGGGGCTGTCTCTGATTGTTGTTTCTGGGCTGACTAGCTTGTACCGATGCGACAGTGCGACAGCGACTTTGCGGGTGTTTTTTTTTCTTCTTTTTTTTTTCTTTTTTCTTTGGTGTGACGTTTGGGAAAAAGGTTCAGCCCATGCAGCCATTTAGTCATTTACACATTTACGAGGAGGATACGTATCTTTCTGCGCGGTGGGTACGTACCCAGCATTGCAAACTAGGTACCTAGGTACCTGCCCAGGTACTTGCATTATGCGGAGAGAGGAGTGTCAGCAGCAAGAAAGACGGACAGGGGAAGGAATGGAGGCGCGAATTGGGGTAAACACAGTATCCTGTCGATACGGCTATAACGATGATGATGAACCACGATGATGCTGATGATGCTGACATGGCATGATGTGGTGGTATTTTGTCCAAGACTGTTTGCGTTTTGCCGCCCTGTACATCCTGCTGCCCGTTTCTGACGGAACCACCCGACGGAAGTGATGCCAGCAATGGAGAAAAGAGGGAAAACCGTAGGAGCCAAGGTTCCTTCCTGTCGGCTCTTTCTTGTGCAATCAAGGCGGCTAATTGTGCCCTTCCGGTACATACGGTGCAGGATTTACTAAGGCGTCGGCCAGCTCGACGAGGTAATAAATGACATGTCGGTCGCCGCCGCCGCCACTGGGTGTCCTCGTGGGCGGCCTGCAGATGGGGAACACGGCCTCGAGTGTGCTTTTTGGTGGCACTCTGCTGAAGAAGACAAGGCACATTTCTCGGTTTGCGCTGCCTGCACGACGCGGGCGGGCTGTGTTACACATGATTGTCTGTGTGCATGGGACGCCCATGTCTCTCTGTCGGTGGGAGGAAGAGAGGGACACAGATTCCCCATGTCCTTCACCGCAATGCAAATCCCAAGTAGGTGAGAATCCGCTCTCAGGAGGAGGCAGTCGGTGTGTCGCTGACAAACGGAGGTGAAGAGAGTGACACCAGCGAGAAGAGAAGAGAAGAGACGAGACGAGACGGAGACCGGAAAGTCGCTGATACGTACCCGGACTGCCCTGGGCGTCTTTAATTGGGATGCTGCTCCCTCCCCAGGCCGTCCCCGACCAATGATGACGCATATGAGTCTTTTTGTGCCTGGGGGACACGCGCCCTAAAGAGCCGGCGATGCACACGGCGCAGTACGGGCGGCGCATCGCATGAGCCCGGTCCCGGTCTGAGCTTGACATGTACCGGTACCTACACACACACACACCTCCACGGTGTAGGCAGGTAGGTAAAACGATGTATGTCATACTTGGTGAGAAGATTTAACATTTAACATCTAACGCGCACGACTGACTCTCCATCGCACTTGCCTACCTCTAGTTTGAAAGCGCGTTGGACCTAGGTACTATCATTGTATATCTCCTTCCTTTCCTCCCCATCCTCCTCGTCTCATCCTCTTGCCGGGTTTGGTGTTTGCACCTGGGCACCTGCGTCAGTGTGTTGACCGGTCAGGGAAGGGGCCGAAGGGCTCCCTACCTTCCGTCACAAGCAGGGTTCAAGGTCCCCAACCACGCCGGCTCCTACTCCTTCCCCTCCGTCCCCATTCATGGGTCACCGCTGCGCCTTGGTATTGGGCTGCAGGATGTGCTTCGTACCTATACAGGTACCTGTCTAGGTATCTTGGTACTACGTATACAATACGTGAGTATATGGCAATCAAGAACACAACTGGCTGTCTATTGCTAGATGACATTGCGACGGGCCGCGAACGCACCCATCCACTGGTTACTGTGTATGCTTCATGCGGGGGGAAGAAGAAGAAGAAGAAGAAAAAAAGAAGAGAGAACAGGGACTTCATACCCTTCCATCTGCATAATCTCAAATCTCAATCTTGTCAATAGTTGTGGGGCCGAGACTCAGGCTCACAACAACAACAGCAACAACAACAACAACAACAACAACAACAACAACAACAACAACAACAACAACAACAACAACAACAACAACAACAACAACAACAACAACAACAACAACAACAACAACAACGAAAACAACAACAGCAACAATAGGGAGGAAAAAGGAAAGAAGAAAAAGGAAGAACGCTTGCAGCTCCTCGTCATCACTCACTCTTTCCATTGGAAGGTCCCCCACATTCTCACACCTCCCTTCGGTACAAAGGTACCTAGGTACCCCTCAAAGATCATGCACCTGTGACTGTGACCCGCAGGATGTACCCGATCGATGTCTTTTCCGCTATTGTGAGCGGGGGTAGAAAGCAAAGGAAAAGACAATAATAATGTTTAAAATAAAATAAAATAAAAGATATCACTGCAAACCCTCTTCCCCACCGGGAGGGAAGGAGAGCAGTTCCCTGCTTGCCGACGGTGTGTGCCTGCCCCCCAACTTCCAATTACGAACTGCTTGCTTGCTTGTTCGTTCTTACCTCGTCATTCCAGGGAAGTTGGCTCGAGGGGGGAAAAGCTTCTCGGCCAGCCCCACTCCTGCCTTTCTGGTTTCCGCTCTGTCCGGCAACTAGCTGTCGTCTTGCTGCAACCTCTCGACCACTGCTCGGCACATACAGCACCGTCCGCCGAGGACCGTATGTCTTGACAGAACTTCACGAGGCTGCGTCTCACTCCGCGGTGTCCCACGCCATCATCCTACTCTACCTGCATTTATGCGGGTGCCCTGCCAGACCCACGGCCAGAAAAGGGAGAAAACCATAAGAGCAGGAAACACTCCAGATCGAGGTCCCTTAGACTAACACAACCAAAGGCAGGGGGGCTTGACCACCCCGGCACCCTGAGGGCGGTGAAGAAGACCTTGACGGTACCGAGGCCCTCCCAAGTCCACACTCCATTTCTTCGCGGCCCAGTCAAGCCCGCGCGTCTGGACCAACAAGAAACCCACATGCATGACGAGACTCATGCATCGCAGCCCACGGTTTTGCTGTCCCGCCGACCGCCCGAAGCGAGAATCGCAACTGATGTTGCGACTGTGCAAATGGCCCATTGTCAGCATACCCTCCACCCTCCATCCTTCACGTCGAGGCACCATTCGCTGTCCTTTCCGCCCCCGTGCATGTATGTACCACCTCTCCATCCTTGTATCATATCATCGACGCTGGACACACCGACCTCTGTTTTGCCGTCAACGGTTGACGGCTTGGTTAATGGTTGGCTGGATCGTCTCATGGGATCGTCCGCTCACAGCAAATCACCCTGCCGGCTCGTGGATGGCCGCAGATCCGCGTCGTATGTGCGACATGGCGCTGCATTTGGTCCATCGACAACAACCACTACTGAGCCTTGTCTCTGCCAATCGCGTCAATGTCAGACTCTTTGGCCTGCAGCTTATCGACTGGCAGACTGACAGGGGTTGAGCGCTTGGCGGCTGCAGCCACTCTAGCTCCCAGATGGTACTCGGTGCAACGGAACCCTGCTATCAAGCGCCGTCGACAACCTTTCAACGCTGAACCGAGTTGACTTGAGCACTCAGGCTGTCTGCCTTACAACTGTCATACGCATCCCAAACGCCTTCGCCGTATGCGGTTCGCAGCACAGTTTGATCCTCAAGTCTATCCAAGGCAAGGCCCTGGTGGTCAGCAGGATACCCGTAAGGGCAAGGTCAGTCCCGGGAGATGGGAGCCACCCTGTCAACCTGTCAAACGAAGCTGGGCTGACGTTGCTGAGTTACTTCTCGTTGTATAGGGCGTCGTGATCATCTCAGACCTCTGGCATCATGTAGCCAGTATTCGGTGACTACCTGTTCCTGTCTCCGCTTTTCAGTAAAGATGACAACCGGTCGTTTCATCTGAAATCCAGACATGTAAGCTGTCATCACCTTCACCACTATGCGATAATATAAAGCATGCCCAGATCGAGGTGACATGTGCAACTAAGGAGCTTCGAGATTGGCTCAGTCCTTCAGTGTCGATGGTCTCATGCTAAATTGCAGTTAATTTTGTCCGTTGCTGCCAATAACAACAAAACTTCTTATCTCATGCCACGGCTAGGCGGACGACACATCCGAAACCTGGCTTGGACGTCCTCGATCATTAGCAACTTTACCAACTCGCGATGAGCTCGAATCAAGCAATCCCAGTTATTTCGTCTATATATGACGGTCCAGCCAATATGACCCTTTTTGAAATGTATCATCATACATAGCGACGTCGCTCACAACAGTTTGTCGCTGCAATAGTCGAACCACGTTCGAGATTGCAGCACTCAGTGTAAGCAACTTGACCGCTATGCTGGTTGCATGTGGCTTTCTTCGAACTGACGACGACCTTTCGGTGTTTAACGTCGGTGAACAGCCGTACACGTAACATATCAAAGTGCAGGAGATATCCGTATCATTGTACGGCATTGTCGCTGACCCTTCGGGTCGGACAGCTTGAAGGAACACATGAAGCTGGTTTCGAAGCTTGGATCGCTAGCCTGGTGCATCGTTACTGGTCGGCAACCGAGAGCAATGTGTTTGTATGCTCGAGCATGGTCGCCCGTTTGGTCGATTGCACGGCATCGTCCATGCAGACCTCACAACAGTTACGTCGCGACGTACCAAGAGGTGTTTCAAAACGTCATCCGAACACACAAGTTGGCTTCTTCGAAGAGTTCACGCCAACAATGAGCTGCCATTGTGCTGTATGCTTCCACCGAGACGAGGCCTCGCTCACGCACAGGCAGGGCAGCAGCATGGCAGGATCAACCGAGTGCCCATATGCTGCAGGTCCACCACGTCAATGCACAACAATCCAAGCTTAAAGCCATGGCACGAAACATTCTTGAATCGTTTCACAGCTAAAAAAGCACTGCCATGCTCAGCAAGATGACGCTCAACACTTGACAAGGTGGCAACCCACTACCAGTAGCCAGCGCTTCGAGAAGCGTTCGTCTCTGAACGCAAGCAGATGCCCTCTCACTGCATACTGTGAATGAACATGCGCAGGTATTTACTAGTGCCCTTCGGATGTTCTTCCACGAATTCATATGCGTCGGTTCTGGCTTGTTCACACGATCGTGGTAGGCTTCAGGAGTAGCACGGACGTGAACCAATAGACCACCACCAAACGAAAGACGAAGCAACGGCTGGCCTAGCTATGGAGCAGCTGTTTCGAGTCTGTCTTTAGCCGGATCTCAGAGTCAGAAACAATCTCGGGCCAGCAGCTGATCTCTTGTGTCGCACAAATAGGTTGCCGAATCTGTTCCAAAGAGCAATAACGTCTCGCTGCTGGGTCCCTTTGAGATCTATATGCCAATGCTTAAACTTCATGGCCAAATCTTCCGCCAAACCCGGCCCCTCACACATTGCCCCTCGAATTTCTGTCACTATGCTGTCACAGCGAGGGACGTGCGAACGTTGTAGTTGAGTTTGCATCAGGACGGCCATGCACCCTTGGCATAGACAAGCATGCGTCAAGTCCTGATGTTTCGTACAGTGAACTAAATAGACTGTTTAAAAATAGGTTACAAGCCCACCAAAGGTCAACTTTTTAGGCCACTCTTCCGCTTCGCTACTTCTCGGAACACTGCGCCGAATAACAATTGCCGATCCCCATCTCAAGGAGAAAGGAGCACAGAGCTGCGTAACCGATCTATACATCAATAGAATGCCGAAGGGCTCCAGGCAATACCATGGGAAAACAAAGAACGGGTGCCGGCAGTGCAAGAAGCGTCGCGTGAAGGTGAGCATGGGATAGGGTGATGATCCACGCGCAATAGAACGTGTTCATCTCCAGGGTGGCTTGTCTGCAACTTTACCAGAATGTTGGGTTCAACGTGCAGCTAGGTGGAATGGGTGGCAATCGAACAAGACACATCCTTCCAGCACTCGTACACTCCCAGCATCTCAGGGAACCGGTGCTGACCGTCTTGCGTTTCTAGTGCGACTGTGTCGGGCCTGTCTGCGCCAACTGCCGCCGTCGACAAGAGCACTGCAGCTACCTCGGTCTACTTGCCGACACTCTGAACCGCGAAAATGAGGGAGATAAATCCAGTGACACCATGAGTATGGTTCGCCGCGCGGCCACAGTTGCGGCACATGCCTCCTCCCGTGACGCGCTCAACGCCTCGTTGCCCGCCGAGAGGCTCCGCGCGGACGAGGCCGAACTCAAACATCATTTTCTGAACCAGGCCTGGTTCACCTTCTCTTTACAAAACGACCCCCGCAAGTGTGATGTTTGGTCAAGATGGGTGCCCCAGCTGGCGACCCGCAACGTTTTCGTTCATCAGAGCATGCTCTCCATAGCAGCGCTCCACCTCTGCCACCTCGAACCGCCCGACGCCAAACGATATTACTCCATGGCCTGCAAGCATGCCATCCAAGCGAGCAACTACTTCAGACTCGCCGTTCCGCAGGTCAATGAGGACAATTGGCTCGCAACGTTCGTCTTCTCCATGTGCAACGGCATCTTTGGGTATTACCGCCCTTTCGCCGACGAAAAGATCATGGGACAAGCCATCACCTTTGAGCCAGCCAAATCTCTGATCGTGATGCGGGTGGCGGCTAGGTTCTCCGATACGGTTACAAGGTACGTGTACAAGAGCCCGAACCGCAACAAGCTCGCGCAGGTGGACCCCGACGATTGGCGTGATAGCAATGACACATTACTGCGGCCATCGATATTCAAAATCGCCAAGCTCGAGGAGTTTTTGTTGTTGGGGCCAGAGTCAACAGGCGTAGAGGCAGATGAGACGGAAGTATACCTAGCAGCCCTCGGTGCGCTGAGGACATATATAATTTCACTGCCAGGCCGCCCTAGGATATGGAAGCATTTCATCATCTGGCCTTCGTTGGTATCGGAGCAATACATCTCACTCTTGCAGGCGAAAGAGCCAGTGGCGCTCATGCTGTTCGTCCTCTGGACCGAAGTCATGTATCTGGCGCCCCGGAGATGGTATTTGATTGCCTGGTACAGCCGAGGCCACGTTAATTCCTTGCGGGAACTCGCCCAGCAGGCCGCCACGCCAGCCCACCGGTTTTGGGAGACGCTGGTCGACGACAGCAGCCAGTCCGAAAACTGCGCGGAGGAATCAGAGGCGAGCGAGGGCTGCCCGTCGACGCCGTCGGACGCCCAGAGCGACGACGGGGCACGTAAAAGCGACTTTTTGCTCATGTCTACCGGAGAAGAGTTCGGCCCCGACAACCGTGGCCCGGCCAAGTTCTTCGAAGCCCAGGGGGCGGCTTAAAAGGCGATATAATGACACCCTTTTCTCCCGACACAGTTCTCACTAGGAGGTTACAAGATCTCTTCGTGGCACGGTAGAGAGGGGGAAGAATCGGGTTCCTCGGCATGAGATCGAAGCCAGAAAGTTCGAGGGGAGGCCATGGCGACGGTTCTTGCGTAGAAGCCGAAGCATATCGAAGCGGGCCATGAGGTTAATGACTGGCCAAATGTTAACCATATCGCTCTTAGAGCAACAAAAACCGGCGCCAGAAATAACAAGTTAGTCAGCCAAGCCGATGATGGTTGGCACTAGCGATCAGTACACAAGTGTGGCCTGCTAAGCCCACGTGGCCAAGAGTGACATGACAACGTGAAATATGAGGAGTCACTTGCGTTGTATACAAAGCATCGTCGGCGATTATCTTCAACAACTGCGGTAGTGCCATCTGCCCGTCAAATGAAGGTAATTACGTGATCTACCTCAAGACAAAAAGACGTTGCCACGTGATTCGAAACATCTCCAGAGCAGCGAGATTTCGGTCCCCTCCAATCAGATCATGTCACCTCAACAAAAGTTGGCGAAGGAGAGAGGATAACACCCCCCTCTCCGACCCCCCGCACCATGTGAACGCGCCCTTTGGTGTAAACATCCTCGTACGTTTGTTGGTAGCAAACGATCGGGGCCAGTCGGCCAATGTCGTCCCAGCGCTTGTGGCCCAACAAACGAGATCGCGTCCGTGGTCCATACCGAGAGAGATTTATGATTCGTCGCGGGGGGGGCGGGGGGGGGGCTGCGGCGAACCTTGAGCCTTTGGCAGTTTGTGTGTGTGTGTGTGTGTGTGTGTGTGTGTGTGTGTGTGTGTGTGTGTGTGTGTGAGTGAGTGTGTGTGTAGCTGTCGATATGTCACGTCCAATGGCATCTCGCTTGGGTGCGCGAATTTCCCATGTGTTTATGACATGATGTATACGTCCTAGGAACCCGTTTACAGTAACTCCGCGCGGCGTGATCGGGCGACCGGTTATGCTTGCGATTCCAGGCCGCCATCCAAAGCCGTTGTGGAGAGGCAGGCGATATGCAGGTAGAAAGGTTATGGTCGGTCCTACCGGGGTGTGGGGTGTGGGAAGCCAAGTGTTCACGTCACCGATGCCGACGCTCGCCTGGGGAGGGCTTCGGCGAGCTGGTGATGGAGAAGACCGGCTCATCACGCGAAGCCAACTGTTGCTGCTTCGCTCGTGACATCGCCTGCTTGGCTAAGAACCACGTCCGGTTCGTGGTGAAGCCCGTCGGTCGGGAAAGGGGCGGGAGAGGGGTTTACGGCCCGGGGCATGTACTCCGGCGGGGAGGATAGTGATGCGATCCCGGCCGCTGGAGACGCGGGTGACATCGGCTTTCGGGAACGCCTCCCGCGGGGGATATTCCATCCTCTTAACCTCGCGAGTGTAGAGCGGACCCCTCCGCTCCACATCCTCCCTCCTTGAGAGTGATGCGCGGAGCTGCGTTTTAGAGTCACGGCTGCATAACAGACATGGCCGATCCCACCCCCAATTAGCGGCCGGAGAGGCGGCAAGAAAGAAAGAGAATCTGCCAGAGTATGGTATGATATCGTCATGACCTACCCCGCAGGCGATAATGTAAAGTTTACGCGGCGTTGCCCTTATCACCCGGCTATTTAAACTGGGCAATTCCCCTTCCGCCGACGGCTGAGAAGAGGTTTAAATCTTGTCAATTCACGTTTCACAAGACCAGCTCCAGCGGATACAACTAAAACAGTAGGCCCTGTACCCCGTGGTGGCCGGACGTATACAGACTGACATCCCAACAGGAGGCTTCACTCGAGCCACACACACGCTTATACAAACGCGTGCACTTCAGAGTATGTAACACTCTTGAGCAGAGCATGAGCCGGTGCCCGCCCGAGGCCGACGTCGCTGCCACCCCAACTTCCTCCATGGGTGGCCAGCGGCCGAGGACGACGGTGGGCTGAGATTATACGGCCTCGAACTTGATCTGGGTAATACCAGCGAAAGGATCATGCAACCTAACAAAAGCAGACAAAACGTACACATCCCCTTTCAAGATAGTACTCGAGAGAGAACCCCTCAACGAAAGACGACCACCATGGCTCCTCCCACCGCCATCTCCCCCGTCAGCAACTACGCCGTGCCCTACACGGCCGGCAAGACCACCAAGCCCGCGGAGGGCCATGTCACTTCCGCCGCCAGCGCCCCGGCCAAGGTCGAGGACCTCTTCGGCAAGTGGGACAGCTTCGCCTTCGCGCCGATCCGCGAGAGCCAGGTGTCGCGGGCCATGACGCGGCGGTACTTCGCCGACCTCGACGCGCACGCCGAGTCGGACATCGTCATCGTCGGCGCCGGCTCGTGCGGCCTCAGCGCGGCCTACGTGCTCGCCAAGGCGCGGCCGGACCTGCGCATCGCCATCGTCGAGGCGGGCGTGGCGCCCGGCGGCGGCGCCTGGCTCGGCGGCCAGCTCTTCTCGGCTATGGTGATGCGGAAGCCGGCCGAGGTGTTCCTCGACGAGGTCGGCGTGCCGTACGAGGACGAGGGCGACTTCGTCGTCGTCCGGCACGCGGCGCTCTTCACGTCGACGGTGCTGAGCAAGGTGCTCCAGTTCCCCAACGTGAAGCTCTTCAACGCCACGACGGTGGAGGACCTCATCACGCGCCGGCAGGCCGAGGACGAGGGCGCGGTGCGCGTCGCGGGCGTCGTGACCAACTGGACGCTCGTGTCGATGCACCACGACGACCAGTCGTGCATGGACCCCAACACCATCAACGCGCCCGTCGTCATCTCCACGACGGGCCACGACGGCCCGTTCGGCGCCTTCTCCGTCAAGCGGCTCGTGAGCATGAGGCAGATCGAGCGCCTGGGCGGCATGCGCGGGCTGGACATGCAGGCCGCCGAGGACGCCATCGTCAAGGGCACGCGGGAGATCGTCCCCGGGCTGATCGTCGGCGGCATGGAGCTGTCCGAGGTCGACGGCGCCAACCGCATGGGTGAGCCGACACTGCGTTTCCTTTTTCTCGTCCTTTCCTCTTTTTGTTTCTATCGCCGCGTTGGGGCTTTTGGTTTTACTGACGGGTTTTCTTTCACGCAGGCCCTACCTTTGGCGCCATGGCTCTGTCGGGAGTCAAGGCCGCCGAGGAGGCGCTGGCCATCATCGACGCGCGCAAGAAGGAGAACGAGCTCTAGGCGCGAGCGAGCGGGTAGGGGGTCGCCGACTGGCTTGAGATTCTCTCGCTTCCTTCCGCTTCTGGATGTTTCCTTGGCCAAGATACGTGTTTATAGTCGCTCGTTCAGGTAGGTTGCTTCTTTTTTTGCCGGTTGAGATGGTGCACATAAGATTGGATGCTGTATTATCGATGCACCAGACGGGATAGTATAAGAACCTGGAAATACAACCACTCATTTGATACTTTGGCGCGGAGTAAAAGATGGTGATGCTAGGTCTAAATACGAGGAGATGCTGATGCGTGGCTCCTGTTTCTTCGAAACCCGTACACGAGCGGCGCTTGTGATGTATTCTCGAAGCACGAACAACACATGGGCGAACGTGCCGACCACGCACGTCGTCTCTCTCTACTGAGGTCATACGACGCTGTCATGGACATCTGCATGATACATCAAGAATTGTAGAAGCTTCCGGCTTAAGCACCCATAGGCCCGCTCGGCTGTTCTGACCTCCAGCATTTGGGTTACCTAGCCCTTGGCTGAAAAGCCCTTGACTGGAAAATTGAGCGCCTCCCGCCTAAGGAAAGTACGGTGCATATTCCCATTAGGTGAATTCTAGGCAAGGCTTCCTAAATAAATTCCTCTCAATGGTCTGAAACGACGAGAGACCTTTGCCGGATATCAAGTACATAATGAGAATCATGGGTTCGACTTCCGTCAGGACAATAGCCCTGGCCTAGAAGCCAAGGCCTAGGACCCCCACACGAACATGACTACTTGGGTGGACATTCGCAATACAAAAGCTTTCTACTCCAATTATGACTCGGCTTTCGTTCTTGCCCTTGCCAACTTCTTGAGGGTGGAGGAGGGACGGGTGTTCGATACGTGCCTCGAGACGGACAAAAGTAGATACGTCTTCAGCTCCAAAGATCTCTCCACATCTCCTTGAAGCCATAGTGAGGAGCCCTCGAGTCATAGATCCTGGCCGTCGTGCCCTCCTTCGCGAAGCGGTCAAAGATCGTCTTCGTGCCTCCCCCCGCCGAGTCGAACAGCGATTTGGTCGGCTTCGTCGCCCTCTCCCTGATGGTCTCTGCCACGAGGGGCGCGACATCGGCGTAGCACGCGGCGATCTCGCGCTCGAGCGAGAAGTACGGCTTCTTGGCGAGCTCCGGCGCCATGAGGTTGTACGACCGCGTGATGTTGTTGAGATTCTCCACAGCAAGCGTCATGTAGGAGCGTTCGGCCGCCAGCCAGTCCGCGTCGCGGAAGGGCTGGACGGGTGGCCGGGCGGGCTCCTCCAAAACCGGCTGCGACGCGGGTTCTCGCGTGTCGCCGGCTTCCGCCGCTGCCTGCTGGCGCATCTTGGCCATCACGGGGTCGTCTGTCGTGCTGCTGGACACAGAGATGCTGTCACTATTCTTCTTGCGCGGGTTGTGCCTCTCCTCGGCTCGGGCGTAGTCCTCGGCCCGCTGCATCTGCTCCTCCAAGCTGCCGCCCCTCGACGAGATCATCCTCGCCACATGCCTCCGCCAGTCGTTGCGCAGCCTCGCCCTGAACACGCTGGCGGCCTTTGCCAGCTCCTGCTGCTTCTCGATCCACGGCGGGACGATCTCCTGCCTCTTGATCATCTTGTTCATGATGTACTCGGTTGTGTCAATGAACGGGTTGTCCGCCCTCGTGTCCCGCTCGATACCCTTGCCGCGGGGTATATTTTTGAACTGCCCGCGGGCGATAGCGTCCTCGATCCTCTCGTTGGCCAAGGATTCGATCCCGGAAATGCTGGCAGGTACCGCTCGAGCGGCCGCCGCGAACCTTTCGCGGAACTCCTGCCTCATCTCCTCACGCTCCTTTGCGCTCAGCCCGCTCCCTTCCTTCAGGCCCATCTCGGTGTAGGTGCTCGCTCGCTCGCGTGCGTCGGCAGCGCGCTGACCCGGGTTGGTTTTGGGCTCTTTCCGTATCCGCATGTCGACGGGTGGTATCTGGAACTTGCCCCGCATCTCTGGCTTGAGCGGTTTCCTGGCGTCGTTAAGCATGCGCAGGACCGTATCCGACTGAGACTCCTCGCCCGTCCAGGGCTGGGCAGTAGCCATGGACCTTGTACCCTCGCCTGCGGCGGCGGGCATCGAGGCCTCGGCGAACGCAGAGGCGTATTTCGATCGGAACTGGGCCGTTTGTACCTTGTCGAGCAGCCTCTCCCTCAGTTCCTCGGAGAAACCGGCGTCTTCCACAGCTCGACGGCCGGCGCGGCCGCCGGTGAGTAGAGCCTCCTCGGTAGCTTCCTCGAGCCTGCGCGACATGGCCCCCTTTTCCTTCGGCGGCTCATATTTGCTCTGGTCGGGTGGCGAAGCTTCGGTACCTTCGGACGATCGGTCGGAGGAATAAAATCGGCGGGGAGCTGTATGGATTCGGGTGTTGTTGCGCCCGTTGGATCGCAGGCAGCGGCCGCACAAGAAGGGACTCCTTGTGAGCTTAGTAGCCATAATTGAGATGCCAGGCTTCCGCAGGTGTTGGGTGGGCGAGCATAGCTGGTGAGAAGCGAGAAATTGTCGCGAATGGCGCGATGGGCTTCGTGATGTCAACGAAAGGGAAGAAAGTGGCGATTGACGGATTTAAGCACAGGCCAATCGCCCAAGAGCGGCAAGTGGGTCCTGCCGCGTCGAGTCACCGGCGCCGACCGGCTGGTGACCCACAAACCTAGCCGTACAGCCGGTTTCTTGTCCAGAACCCGCAATCTCCATATCGGAATATTCTCTGAATATTCTTAGGTCAAAGCAAAGGCCCGTCATTTATTTTATTATGAAAGCTGTTTTAGACTTTCTCCATGCAGTAGAGAAGCCCGGCCGAGAGACAAGTTCCCTATGCAAGAGTTTAGTCGCTTGCTGCTCAGCAAGAACCTAGAGAACTTCCATCGTGATGTTGAGCAAGCGGCACTTTCGGCCGGAAGATTGATACCAAGCATTGAGAACTCCCTCGATCCGTTGCTGCAGTTTCCAATGTTCTTCTACCACAGAATCGGGGTCAACTTGCAACAGATTCCCGTCAACTGCCCATTCATGGCCAAATCATACGCCTCTCTTACCTTCGACGGCCAGATGCGAACGGACGCAAAACACGCTGGTATAACCATCAATAAACGCCTAATATCTTCGCACATAAGTTCCGGCCGGACTTTGCAGAGGCGCCTTGTGTTGTGAACAACAACATTGTCAGCAGGAGGAGCCCCTACTGGCACGAGGGAAAGAAGAATGACCACGAGCAGGCGACCCAGCATTGGTCCAAGACGATGACTGAGCAACAGCGGAAGAACACATCCTTGAACACTTCCAAGTACCTGAAGTTTGTGATCTACTCCGAGATCCAGGTAAATGAAATGGCTGCTAATTACGCAAGTATCTAGATACTAACGATTCTCAGGAGAACTATCTAGCGCAGGTTTACAACATCTCGCCGGACTATGCTCAAAGCGTCTATGACTTGTTGCCGAAGCCACATTTAGCGTTCGATAAGGTGAAGGAACGTGCCGTAGATGCTCATCTGTGGTATAAGGAGAAGAAGTTCCGATCGACTGAAGGGTCGAAATTGGCGGGAATGTCGCCGTCTTTTCCAGTCTATGGTGCTTAGATTGCCACTGCTCTCGTCAACGCCACATTGCCCGAGGCATTATCGTGTATGCAGAGAATTCTTGACCTCTCTAGGCTTCGCAACAGTCCATATAGTGGAAACAAGGAAATTTTGGTCGCTACCTATTCTTTCTTGTAAGGCACCACAATTCTATTACTATATATCTCTTCGAAAGGAAATAGAAGCATAATCACCCAACGACTTCAGAAACCACCCGGCCTACAAGTATTTCTCCAATTTGTATTGAAGTTAAACCATCAAAGTTTGTTCTTAATTGAAATGTACAGCACTTCCGCTTTTGCCAACACGTCGCCATGCTCGCCCTCTATCTGGGCAGTGACGTAGTGCTTCCGACCCTCTACCTTGGTAACCCTAGACCTCACAAGCACCGTCCCGGGAGTCGGAACGGGTTTGTAGAACGATGTATTAAGATAACCCGTTCTGAAGTCTTTGTTTGGTTCAGCTCCTTTGGGCCTCTGTGCGACAATATGTATACCTGTGACCTCATCCAAGACCAGAGCTATGACCCCGCCATGCGCTGTGCCTGGAAACCCAGTCATGCCATTGTTGAAAGTGATGAGTGAACACAACTCGTCCACTTTCCAGTCCGGTTCTTGGGGCCGCGGGTGCAAGACCAGCCAAGCAGTGATGGTTTCCGGGGTGTTGAGTGTTCCACCCACGTACTGGTTCTCTCTTGTGGGGAGGACCGTTCTGTTCTGAGAGACGTGGACGACGTGGTGGGGGGAGGAAAATGCCGCAAGTATTTTGGCACACCACGGAATGGAAGCGAAATGTTTGTATTCAGGATGTACTTCAACGCTGTTGGAAGACATGGTAGGGAAGTTGACAGCTTGTGGGTGAAGTGACGATGAAACTTGACAAGTCAATATTATGTTAATTGCCGGAGGGGATGATTGCCGGACGATTGCCTCGGGCGTGGGGGTGTGGGGGCTAAGGCAACATCCGAGGCAGTTTAAAGGCCATGCCTTTCGGTCTAGGTCCGCCGATACACGTGTACACATTAGATTGACTTGATTCTCATTTACGTGGAGACCACATTAGTTAGACTGACTTCATCCGCAATGCGAACGACACGTGCGTGGTTGACTTTTGACGCCCCTTTGTGAATGCCTCACTATTAGATGCAACCTGCTGTAGAGATCTTAGAGGAGCCAATGACAATGACGATGGTTTCGCTCCATGCCGCAAACATTATGTCGCACAAAGGCAGAGCGCACCATGCATATAACTGACTTAGTTAATATTGAAGACGACCAATGATTCAAAACGAAAAATTTCTTTTTGTTAAGCCCCTGTTGGCATACCGGTGGTATGCTCTGGGGAGGTGGGTCACGTGATATCCACGTGACACACCGCCATCCCCACAGTATCCACCCTTCCCCTGCAACAAGGGTATGTGTTACGTAAGCCCAAGGGCTACATAAAGCAGCCACCACTCCACATCAGCAGAGATAGATAGTTAATTAACTACATACACACCACCAAACCATAACAATTAGTAGCACAACCAATTAAAAAGATCCAGGCCCACCATTACTAATCAGAGCCCTTAGATAAACAGAAAAAACAGAAAACTAGGCACATACGCTATTATTAACTTACCTAAAGTTAACTAACCACTAACCACACTCCTACCACTCCTACCTATTATCTATTATCTACCTCTACCCCTATATCACACTTATCCTAGTTACACTTACTATAACTACTCCTTATCACTAATAACAGTTCACCCTATATTAATAAATAACAGAGCTTTTATAATTTATAGAAGTTACTAACTCTCTAATTATTATAAATAATAATAAGGCTATAGCTTAGTATCTCCTAGACGCTATCCCTATTAACCTATATTAACCTACTTACTTTAACACTAACTACCTAATAGAGTAGTTAGAAAACAGAAAAGCTCTCCTATATTTCCTAACTAAGTAGTAATAAGTATTAGAGAGGTACCTAACAAGCAGTAACTAAGACACTATCCCTCTAGCCACACTAAATAAGCCTACTACTATATATCCCTCTACTAAGCAGATTACTATAGTTATAACAGGCTTAAGTAGATTAGACTTTTTAAAACTATTAACCCCTTATACTTTAAAAGATCTAACTACTCTAAGCAGTAACGCTTATATTAGTCTACTTAACCTTAATAAAAGCAGACTATAATAAGCTATTTTAACACTATCTTAGTTATTAATTATAGTAACTAACTACTAAGAGCCTAAGGAAATAGATATTAAACAGGCTAGGTAAGATAAGTAGACTTACGTTATAATAGTTAAACTATCCTTAATAAAGGAAAAATTACTTATTATAATAAAACCCTTTATAATAAAAATAGTAGTAGCTATACTAAATGTAGCTATAGCTAATTTATACTATAATATTAATAAGGATTTATATAACTAATATAAAACTATTACTATAGATATAGTATAAATAGTAGCAGACATACTTAGGGATAAAGATAAATTAGCTTTTATATAATTACTAGCACTAGTAATAAGGAATAATAAAATATTAAGTCCTTAGTATATAGGCATTTTTAATCCTAACGCCTAAGATCTAACATAACTAGGCATAGTCTCTAATAGTAAGTTAACTATATATATAGATATATTTACTTTTATAAATTAATTAAAAGACTTAGCTATTACTAAATCTAATAAATAAGTTTATAATATATAAATATAATACCTATAAGGCCTTACTTTAGTTTAGCACTTATAAATTATTATATAAACTAACTATAACCTACTATATATAGTAATAATTAACACTATTTTATTTAAACTTATAAAACGCTTCTAGCTACACTATAGTAAAGCTATAAAATAATAGAAATAGGTATCTTATAGTATCTATAATATATAACTACATAAGGATATTCTTATATACGTCTAGACTATAGTTTATAACATAAAAGCTTATAGTATTATAAACACACTTAGCTAATTAAAGGCTATCTATAAATCCTTTAATAAGGCTATTAAGACTATTATTCTCCTGCCTATATAAATAACTATATTAAATAATTTCCTTATATAAGTTAGAGACTATAAATTAGCTATAACTACGCTAGCTATAGAGCGCACTATATACTAAAATTAGTAATAAGCTTAATACCTAGGTAAGGCAGTATTAACGCCCCCTATAAGATAATTTTTATATCCTCTTTTACTTTTATATTAAACTACTACTAACTAGTAACGTTAGCCTACTAGTAATTATAATAATAGATAGGGTAGTCTATAAAGACCACTACTAGCCTTATAAACGCCCTAGACATAAGCGCCTTAGGCGTAAATATTATAACAGATAACTAGATTCTAACTATAGTAGAATTAGCTAAATTAATTCACTAGGTTCCCTACCTTATACTAATTTAATAAGTCTCTATAAGGTTAAATACATAATAATAACTACTATAACTACTAATAACAGATAGATAATATAGTTATACTAAAGAATAGATAACTTAGATAGAATAAGAGACCTTAAGCGCTAGCTAACGCTTCTAGATAACTATAAGCTATAGCTTACTATAGTAAGAAGCTCATAACTAAAAAAGAATTAAGTACTTACTATAAGTTACTTTTAGTAGCTAAGGAATAAGGTAAAGTTAATATAGTAAGCTATAATAACTATAATTGAATAGTCTATAATAAGGTAAATATAGATTAAATTAAACTAAGCGACTTATATCTATTTATAAGTAATAATAATAGTAGTAACATATAGTTTATAGCTACTTCTGCTCCTTATAGACTACACCTTACTACTAGATATATATATAAGGCTTATATAGAGACCTTCTTAAGTAATAACTAGTTATATAAGTATATATAAGAATATTACTAAGTTACTTAGTATAACATAAAGAACTACGCCTTTTATAGTAATATTAAATCCACTTTAGTATAAATAAGTATATTAACTATACCCCTAGTTATATTTAGATCTAAGGTTAATTTAATAATATAAATTAGCACTAGCTTTAGATTTAGATCCTAGTTATACCTATACTACTAGATTACGCCTAATCTATAACGTTATACTACTTAGATAGATATATATACTAATATAGGTTATTTAACTTCCTTTATTAATAGGATATTCCTATATACTTACTATCTAATACTTAATATTTATATATAATTAGTTCTATTAAATATCTAAGGTATTAGTAATAACGTCTATACTACTTAAGACTATATAGTTATAGATCTTTACTTCTAAGGGTAACGTTAAGGTAATAATTAGCTAGTAATAGTAGTATTTACTAAGGAGATAGCTATAGTAGACAACCTTATAGCTAACATACTAGTTAGTATAGACTGCTTAGGACTAGAATAATTTAATATCTTTAATAGTAAAGGATATACTATTATTACTTCTTATAATATAAGAATCCTTATAGCAGTATAGCGTAATAACACTTAGCACTAGGCTAAAGTTATAGCCTAATAGTAAATTATAATACTACTATAATTATTAGTAATAGTACCTATTACTTATACTATATAAAACATATAACAGGACTTATTATTTAAACTAACTAACCTAGTAGTTACTATATACGCTTTACTTATAGACGCTAGCTTAGATTATATTATAGTCTATAATAATATAGATAAACGCTAGACTATCTAATGTAAATAATTTCTAGGCTATTTAGTCTCTATTAACTTATTAATATAGGCCTATATAGTTAAGGATAACTAGCGTAAAGTAGCTACTAAGATAGTACTAAAGGAACTAGTACACCTAAAGTCTAGGCTTATTTACATTATACTAATCTAATAATAGAAATAGATAATAACTTACTTTACTAGCGTTAAGATCTATAATAAGCAGCTAGATACTAATAAACTCTTATAGCTACTTAACTGCTATAAGTATATCTTTAAAAGTAATAGTTTTACTAATATACCTAAAGATTAATAGATATAAGTCTTTTTTAAGCTAGATTAGTATAAGTTACTACTATATAAGTATAAAATCTATTTAGTTAGCCTAAAAAAAAAGAACGTTATTAATTACATACTTAATAAGCTAAATAAAGTAGGTAAAATATACTAGACTAATAAATAGGTGCTAGTAGTATACCTAGTATTTATAGTCTAGTAATAATTGTTAGGTATTAAGCTTTAATACCTTATAAAACTTATAAATAATAAAGTAGAATTAAATATAAGTATAATATATAATACAGTATTAATAATACTATATACACTATATACACTCTATATCTATATAACTACTCTAAATTCTACTATATATAATAAAAGATAAGAATATTACTATATAAAGAATAGTACTTCTAAGAAGAGCACTATTCTCCTAAGGAGTTACTTTAGTAATAAAACACTCTAGAGTAAACTATATAAGCGAGGTGTTTTACTAAATAACCTAACTAGATAATAACCTAATTAATAAACCTAAATAATAACCTAGAATCTAGAAGAAACCTCTAGATATCTCTAAATATCTAAGATATCCTTAGGAAATAAGTATAAATATTCCCCTTTTCTCCCTCTATCTAGGCAGTTAATATAAGCTTTATAAGCAAGAAATATAATATATTATAACTATATTCCTTATCTATCTTATCTCTTATCTCTTATTTTTATATTGCCTCTTATTACCTCTAAAAGGTTATAAGCCCAGCTCTTTAAGATCTAAAGAGATATCTTTAAAAAAGGACGACTTTAATAAGAATTAAACTACTAACCTCTAGATCTAAAAGATCAGATATTTAATTAACAACCAACTAAGCCACAATACCTTTCTTAAGGCGATATCTTCAGCAATAGATTTAAAGATAAACCTACCACGCCTCAATAGAAC